GGTTTGAGAGAGCATTTAAAGAAGAGGCGGGCGAACCAATAGTGAGTAGGAAGTGTGCTGCAATCAAGACGAACAATACCGATCATAAGTGGACAACTAATAACCCCTTATTAAGCCCGGGTTACGCACTGCTGTGTTGACTCCTTGCTGGGGAGCGGTAGCGGCCTCCTACTGCTGTTAGTAATCACGCATTGTCTTCTAACTTGCGGCTTAGTTGACTCCTTGCTGGGAAGGGGTGGCGGCCTCATACTGCTGTGCGTAGTCACACATTGTCTTCTAACATCCGGCTACACGTCGGTTGCATTGTATTAATAAAGTAATATCTATTCATAAGGAAGGGGGCGGATGGTAATCTGACGGGTATTAAATCAGTTATCGATTAAACGCGTACCAGTAGTCGTGTTTTTTAATAGCTACACGGTATCTGTCGCCCTGGAAGAGGGTAGGTCATGGCCTGGTTTTCACACAAGAAAATAACATACTGTTTTGTATCGTGGCTAGGTGCTGTGTATAATTCAAATAATGCAAGCTAAATGCATACACTTGGTTGTGTACATGTGTGCATGTGTAGGGACACATACGTACCTGTTGTACTACCTGTGCATATGAGGTGGTTGGAGGTCCAGTGAGCATCGCAGGTGTAAAATTGTACATGCCTTGACTGCTCTGCTGCATTGGAAACATATGACTTTGATGTGATGGTTGGCTGAAATTATTAAAAGGAGTATTTAGCAGGCATTAAGCAAAGGCAGCTTTCAAACTTTATCACAAATGTGTAGTTATTGTATATATAGTTATACTAAATAAAACTTCTTTCAAAAGACAATGCATACTTTCAGTTGTTTTTATTAAATGGTTAAGTATTCAGCTGCACAAATATTATTCAAGAGAATCTATAATACATTAAAATCAATAATTAAGAAACATTAATATCTCCTTTCTTAAAAATACTCCCAGCTTTTTGTCATAATCATTAAGGCTGCATTCACAACTGTGGACTAACTAGTCTGCAAACCAAATTTGCCCGACCCACTTGAATGCTTGTTGCATTATCCCTGCAGGGTATCTATACAGTGTCTATAGGAGGATTAGACGCCAAGCTTTTTAGTGGGTCACCATATTTGATCTGCAGACTAATTAGTCTGGTGTTCTGAATGTGGCCTAAGAAATCACACATTTGTAAATTTTGTAACACTCCATATTGGAAAATTTTATTGCCCTCTTTATGTTTTTTCCTTCAAAATGAAGTGTGCAATTTTTAGATTGAAAATGTATTATTTTGGTTGGTTGCTTTGACTTAACTTATAAATGCATACATGCATTACATGTAGCCTTACCTATTAAGTTGAAATGCAATTTTTTGCATGTAGAAGTGTGCTTTTCCTCTGGCATATTCCTCATTGTTTATCAGTGCAATGACTTCAACTAATTTAGCGTCACGCAATATATAATGACTGAAGTCACATTTCTGAAAAGCATCTTTAAGAGATATGCCAACTTCACCAGATCTACAAGTCCTGTAAAAACGTTCCAGATCATCATCTGTTTGGAATTCTAGTGCCAATGTAATAGGATGGTGATGTTTACCATCAACAATCAATGCAAATCTTTGAAAACCATGCAAAGTGCAGTTTCCATGATGAGAAAACACATAATTAATTTCTTTTCTTCTTAAGTTTTTTGAAAGGAAAGTTTCAACAAGATCATAGCTATTATTGTCAAAATACACCAATCGGCCTCCAGATATACTGCCAACATGTAATTCCATTTGAAGCACTGAAAGTAAAAAAAAGGCCATTTATATGAGTTATTTAATCACAATAAGTACTCATATAATCTTGTGCCACAAATTATTCTTAAAATGGTCTACTACTTCTGATTTTGTCAGTAAAGAGGCAATATATAATGTCTTCATTTAGTACATGATAATGAGCAGCTCATATCTCCTATACCAAAAAGAAAATCAAAACCAAACACTCACACCAGATTGTAGCTCACATCCTAATTTTCAACCATGCCAATTTTCATGAAAGTTATTCTTAGTTACAGTTATGTTACGCTGGAATCTGATCATATGTCACCCCAATTCACAAAGCAGCAAAAAAAAAATAAATAAATAAAATGATGATAAAAGCTTGGCCACCTATGTGCAGAAGTGGGCTGGTAAATTAAGCGACAAAAAGGGAGTTTGTACTCAAAAGGTATTTATTTTTATTGCACTAACATAAAGAAAAGTGTTTCACAAAAAATGGGGAAAATGCTATTTTTTGTCAAATGTAGGTCCAATAGTATATCATGTATTAACTAGAGGATCAGAGAGGCAATACCGCCTCCGGATATTGTACCACCAGCTGGAGTAAGCACATTCGAATGGACCCCCCCCCCAAAAAAAAAAAAAAAAAAAAGGGACACCACCATTAGTCTTGCGCTCAAGCTCTATAAAATGCAATCAACAATAGTTCTCAAAATATGCAAAAAAATATGACAAAAAATGGTACAATCAAGCAGATTTTCGAATTGACCTGTATTTTCCCAACACTGATCACTCCTATGATTCTCTAGACAATAGACCTATTGATTTTCGTTGAAATGTGTTGTCAGTGTTGCATATTTGCTTACAAAAGAGAAAACCTAGAGGCAACACAGGGCATATCTCTGCTAGTTTTGAAGATATGAGGGACAAGAAAATCTGCAAACCTCAGTTAATGGTGAAAAAGTAGATCAAAGGTCAATTTCAATGTCACAGCTAGTATACGACTTCCTATTCAAGTTCAATAGTAACCATGGGCATTTCTTTGCCAATTTTGGAAATCTAAAGGCCAGAAAACATGCAAAAGTGCAGTTTATCATGGTAAAAAGGTCAAAGGTCAATTTCAAGGTCACAATAAAATTACCAGTATACGACTTCCTATTCAGGTTCAATAGTAACTATGGGTGTATCTTTGCCAGTTTTTGAGATATAAAGATCTGAAAATTTGCAAAATGCAGTTAATGGTGAAAAGAAGGTCAAAGGTCAATATTAAGGTCACAGTTAAATTGCCAGTATATGACTCCTCTTTAACTTAAATAGTAACTATGTGCATATCTTTGCCAGTTTTGGAGATATAAAGATCAGAATATTTGTAAAGTTTAGTTCATGGTGAAAATTAGGTCAAAGGTCAATTTAATTCAGGGTCACAGTTAGATTGCCAGTATATGACTTCCTATTCAAGTTTAATAGTAACTATGTGCATATCTTAGCCAGTTTCGGAGACATAAAGATCAGAAAATTTGTAAAGTGCAGTTGATCATGGAAAAAGGTCTAAGGTCAATTTCAAGGTCACAATAAGATTACCAGTATATGACTTCCTATTCAAATTCAATAGTAACTATGGGCGTATCTTTGCCAGTTTTGAAAGTATAAGAAAAAACCTAATTAAAAAAGTAGCAAAGTTCAGTTCATGGTGAAAAATAGGTCAAAGGTCAATTTCAAGGTCACAGTTAAATTGCCAGTATATAACTTCATATTCAACTTCAACAGTAACTATGGACCTATCTCTGCCAGTTTTGGAGATATAAGGGATTAAATGTTACAATTTTGGAGTTACAGTAATGTGCCATAAATTTCCTACAAAAAAATTTAATTAAAATACAGAAAATGTCATTTTGGTTGAAATTCTTGAAATGGGAGGTGCTCAGAAGTTCCAAATGTTCAAATTTCATGAAATAATGTCATTTTTGACCAGAAGTTGTCTGCCTCGCCAAGCCTTCTGTTTTATTTTCAAGGGGTTCAAAATTTATTACACATTACCGTATTGCACATTTTGCTTTCACCACCACAATGTACTTTTTGATACAGAATAACTCGTAAACCGTATGGAAATAAAAAAAAAACAGAGACCACCCATTGTGTTGGGCTTGACATGCTCTACAAAATGCAAAAATGAATAGGTCTCTAGCATTAACGGTTCCCGAATTAGAGACAGTTTTCAGTTTCGGTATCTTTTGGTTGCTACTCCCGTGAAAATGCACCGACTGACCCTAAACTCACGGAGATAAAAGATAACCTGAAGGGTAACACCTACCAATAATATTATAGGTTAGGTCTGTGTAATATAAGCGCAAATAATTTTTTTCGTAAAAAATTTCCTTTTTTGAAAATTTTGGCCTGTTTGACCTTGAAATAAAGGTCAAAGGTCAAATCCAAGGGCATATATGAAATCTCCACATATGACTTTCGGACAGCCGTCTGTAGACATTTTTCCCATAATTCCTTCCGTATGGTAGATAATTACCATTTAATTTTGCCATTTTTGGACAAGGGTGCATTGCAATGAGCGCCAAACCTAGACCCCAGCACCAACGGAGCCCAAATTTTACGTGGAAAGAGTTGAGATTATAGGTGACCTAAATCCAGGCCATTGTAGTGTAGGAGGAGAAGCGGTAACAGTGAGATGGCGGCAAAGCCAGAGGAGCCGTCGGAACATGCGGGTCGGGACTAAAACCATGTGTACCGCCTGCGCCTACGCTGGTGGTACAATTATTATATAAAAAAACCCTTTACGAGGCCTCCTCAAGTCACTTTTTTTTAAAGAATGAGTCATACATCTGGCCCCCATTTCACAAAAAAACTTAAGTCGGTTTCCCTGACTTAGGGCTTGGTTACCAACGTAATTAAGTCGTTACGTCACTAAGTCCCGTTTCACAAAGAATCTAAAAGGTCGCTTACGTCATTTTTTTCTTAGCTACTAGTCGACGATGTCTAGCCTCCTTGGGAGGAGACTTAAGTCGGCAAGCTCAACTAAAATTCGGTAAATGAGAGCATAAACAACAAAAATTTGGAAAGAACATACCTCCTTCAAGATATTATGTCATAATATCCTTGAATAGCACTGACATTTATGGTATATTGAAATAAAAAATAAAATGCCACTTCACCCAGCCGATGGCGTGTTTGTTTATGTTTTTGACCGCTAGACGTCCGTCAGCAGTGTTCCACGACAAGCTAATGTTTAAATGTTACTTTGAAGTTGTATCGAAGTTAAACTAATCAATAAAGTTCAAAAACAAACTTTATTTCTGTTTTGGCTGATTTTTATTGTTGATCAACGTTCGTTCTCGGCCGAAAGAGGCCATGAAACGTCATGTCTTGTGAAACTTTTGATATTTTACACCTCCTTTTCTTGAAGAGTTTCTCGTGCGCGTCGACTACGGTAAGCACGCCAAGCTAAGACGTTAGATTCTTTGTTAAACACTCCTAGTCGACTGCAGCGTAGTTGACCTAGCTAGGTCACCTAACTCGAGCTAGTTGACTAGGGATTTAAGATTCTTTGTGAAACGGGGGCCTGAGCACTAGGGTAAAACGTATTTTTTACTTTCAGTGAAGAGTATCCCTTACGAAAAAGTCCTATAGGATCCTATAAGATCCTATAGGATCCTATAGGAAATTGGGCCAATTTCCTATAGGATCTTATAGGATCCTATAGGACTTTTTCATTAGGGATGGCCTATTTTCAGGAATCACAGTATAGAAAAAAGTGTAATTAGTACTTTTAAAACTTTCATACATGATGTTGTATCAATTCAATCAGAGGAAGCCATTGTTTCATAAAATTCATACATGGGAATTAAGCCATGTTGTATAAGTAGCTTCAGATAATACTTCACACCTTGCAGTTCAAAATTTAATGTCCCTTGTTTCGAAGCTCAGTTAGAGCTTGCATGATTACATGGAAGTTATTAGTAGTGCCCACCATGAGGGGGTGGACTTGTGTCTGAAGTAACCAATCAGTTTTTAAGTTATGTGATTGACAATATAGTTGATACAGTTTAGTATAAAAAATCTGTAAACTTATATCTAGGGGGAGAGCAAGATGTAGAGGAGAGACGGGAGAGAGAGGAGGAGAGAGAGGTCATACTTGTATCATGTAACTTTTAGTGTAGCAAAATATATTCTGTTGAAGTTACAACATGGAGTCGTTTCATTCTTTTCCGTGTGCAGAGTTTAAGACATGGAACCTGGGAATCTCTGTAGCAGTATTACAGATAGTGTTATCCAAAGATGTGAGCCCATTGTGCCCTAAACCCTAGGGTTTTCTTATAAAAGGGAATTTATTTTATGTAATGTGGGGTCCCAAGATGGTCTAAGGTGGTTCCCCAAACTATGTACAGACAATTAAGTTGCATGACAACAATTGTATGTACTAGTAAGCTATTACACTGTACTTATAATAGTACAGTACATGTAAATGCCTTGTTCAGTCAAGGGGGGCGTCTCGATAGTCCGAAGGTTCATTGGTCCAAAGGTTCTATAGTGAACATTTGGACGAATGAACATTCGGACTATTATTGAACCTTCGGACTATCGCTACGGCCCCCAGCCAAAGGCAATACTGATCAAGGAAGCTCAAAACTATATTTAAGAACCTTAACAAAATATAACTAGCTGACATTTTTTCTCTTTTACTTACTAATTGGTTTACTTTCCATCTGGCCACAAGAGGCAGTGCTGGAGTCTGGCATATGAAAATCAGGTGAGGTGGCCATTTTAGCAGTTCTTATATTCATCAGCTGAATAGCAAAAATAAATAAATTCAAATATAAGTATATTTGATTTTTTTTTTTTTTTTTTTTTTTTTGCATACACTAATATAACTTTTTTGAGCAAATCAAGATGTGCTATCATGCATACATTCTAAACAAAATTCTCAACAAAATGCATCTGCAAAGTGATTATTTAACTACTCTCTACCAGTGTTACAAATTTGGTTGAAGGACTTAAACATGTATAGCCAACTAAATAAATGCTACAGGTAGAACAACTAGCTTTAATTAACCATTCCCAGCTGCCAGCACCTTGATGCCCAACAGCAGTACAGTGGATGTTTATACTGCATCTACTAACTAGTACACAATCGCCCCCCCCCCTTTTCAATATAAGTGCCCACATTTCATGGCGCACGAAGGTAAAAAATATTTATTTTTCTCTTTATTTGCAAGGCCCCGTTAAAAAGGTATTAGTTAACTAAAACTATGTCAGTTAAATGGTATTATTATCCTCTAGAGCCTAAAACTGATAAAATGATCATTTGAAACCATTAACAGTAATTTTCTATGCCCAGGGCCCTCAGACAAGACTGCACACACAAAAATTCTGCCCTCCTCCTCCTCCAACTACTGGGGCTGAATATCTCCATGAATATCTCTGTTGACATTATCTCTGTAAATACAGGTAGCTGATTCATTGCTGCTCTACGGGCCAATTCATTCCTTTTTCTGATCTAATAAAACAAAAGAGCTTTTTTCCTTCTATGACTTAGCATTCTTCACGTGAATTTACCGGAAATTTTTCTATCAGAGGTACACTGTACAGAGTGAATCAATCTTTTATAAGCTTTCATGCTTTGTCATATGATATTATGACTATCAACCCAAACTTGCCCCCATGTTTAATTACATGACACTAAAAATGAAGAATTATACATGCACAAGCGACTGTGACGGGATTTACTCGTCACAAATAACAGTCTCGAAACTAAAGGTGATATCTCTATTAGCGCTCAGTCGCAATTTGCTATGCTTTTACCCTCATCAGGGCCGCAGTTATTTTTCTGTGGACATTTTTGCTGAGGCAGTGCAGAGATTAGCCTCTTTTTAACCATAGACATATCTCTTAATATCTAGTGAAAAATCCATCTGTGGCCCTGTTAGAGGGTAGGAGGGTACAAATCACGGAGCCCTGCATGGGCTCTTTCAAATGTTTACAATAAAATGGCCCTTGAGCTGAATATAAATAAACAGACTACATGCAGTGGGTAATAACACAAAAGGTAAATATACTTGGGAGGGCCTTGGAAAATTTCCATTATATGCATAAAATCAATAAGCCTTTGAGTGAAAAAATGAGTCCCTTTCAGTTTCGGTACAACAAGTGTTAAATATTAGAAGTGGTACTGGTTTAAGCCCCAAATGTCCCAATGTAATAACTCTTAATAAAGTTGTTTAACTGCCATATATGTCATGATTTGAACACTGAGACTGGAACTTTTCCCTATCAAGATTGCTAGCCATTTAAGAGCAGTCAAAATGACGTATCCTCTCTTAATTGTTCGCCTTCCATTTAGTTATAATGGTTAGGGTTAGCCTGACCTAAGTGGGTCAAAATCTAGGGCGAGGCTTACATGTACAAATGAATGGGAAGCGGACTCCCTATCATGACTGACTGTAACGTTACACCGACAATAAAGGCCTTCCTATTGGATATAGAAGGTAAAAATTGTTCGACAAGGACAAAGAGTAATGATTTTTACTTATGATTTACTAAGAAGTAGTGCAATAGTCTGATTAACTGTTTTCAATATTTATTGTTTTAGATTTTTTTTAACAAGTGTGTTATCATAAATTACAATCGCAATTATGGAAATGGTTAGAATCGATTTTTAGGGAAACCTTATAGACTACTTGGTAAATGTTAACATGGAGGCGGTCAAGAATCGCAGTGGAGTGCACGGGTATTTTAATTGCAGCAGGGAAATCAAAATTATCTGAGATATTTTTTGAGACAAAATAAATTCACATTATTTAAAGATAAAGCTGCTGCTCGTATGAGATAAATTCGCAATAAAACATTATAAAATATACTCATAGAAATATATGGAATTCCATTTTACCACCAAACAGCCACTGTCGTACTTGAAACTGTACGTGCTTGCCATCAGACCACGTGCACATACAGGTACATGGCTATACCTCTGTAATAATCTCTTAAAAATTATTACAAAAAAACCAAACGTTTTAGGAAAAAACCTAGACTAACTTTGAATGTGGGAATGAATCCATTAATCATTGATAAGTATGGGAAATCACCATTTACCCAAGGAAAATTCGTTTTTTGGAAAGGGGAGCAGGGTCAATAAAAACCATAAACCATTCTCCGCCTCTAGAAAATCTTGGATCCGTCCCTAAATACGACAGAATTGAAACATCCATCTCATCTCTTTAAAGTCGCACGGTGAATAGAATTAGCATGACTACTTTAGAGGAATATTTTCAAAACCTTTTCCTCTTAACTTACCCAATGAATCTATTTCTTCACTTTCCTGCTGCACATTTTGTTTTAAGCTCTTGGCGACTGCTCACACATCCGACAAAGTACCTACAGTTAGGCAGTTACTAACAACTGAGAGCACGAAACTATCCACCGTTTATAAAGTCTACAAAATGAAACAAGTCCCTCAATCTGAATTATTGGCCAGAACGTCACGAATACACGTCGTCATTCATATCAATACAACCCATGGGCCCCTTGTTTATCATGTTCATTTCCTGCCTTTATCTTTGTTCTTGGAAAAACCAGGTTTCGTTTAAATCAGCGCTCAAAGTGAAACAAGTCCCTCCATCTGAATTATTGACCAGAACGTATACGAATACACGATGTCATTCATATCAATACACGCCATGGGCCCCTTGGGCGGGCCTTGAATTTCCTTATAAGCATAAAATCAATAAGCCTCTGAGTGGAAAAAAAACTAGTCCCTTTCAGTTTCGGTACAACAAGGTGCGCGATTTCAGTGCATTGCCCAGTGCTGTGGCAGCTTCTACAGTACAGTGAAACAAGTCCCTCCATCTGAAATATTGATCAGAACGTTACAAATACACGATGTCATTCATATCAATACACCCTATGGGCCCCTTGTTTATCACGTTCATCTCATTCGTATACCATTGCTCTTGGAAAAACCAGGGCTCGTTTAAATCGTAACAATGAAATGGACCTTGAACTGAATATAAATAAAACAGACTACAGTGAGTAATAACACAAAAGTTAAATACTCCTAGGCGGGCCCTGGAATTTCCATTTAAGCATAAAATCAATACGCCTCTGAGTGGAAAAAACGAGTCCCTTTCAGTTTCAGGACAACAAGGTGCGCAGTTTCAGTGCGTTACTCGGTGCTGTAACAGCTTCAACATGAAGTGTTACATTTGTAGGAAGGACAAGCTGTCAAAAGAATTTCCGAGAGTCACACTTACCAATAGCTGTGACCATGCACCACTGCATTGTTTGAGGGTAAGTATCCCATTTTGATAAGCACAAGTCTTTCAAGATCTTTCAAGAGAGAGTTATGTCGTACACTGTAGTTGCTTCCAAGACACCATGTGGCTAATATCTTTTACCGGTTGTAAACAGAAATATAAATAAAAAGGCATGTCTGTGAGGTCTTACTATCCCTTCACCATTTCAAGAGGAAATAATACAACTGGTGTCACAGCTGCACATTTCGGCACTCGGTACCGAAATAGGTCCTATATACCAGAACTACCAGAAGTTTATTGACAATCGCCCTACATCCGGGCATGATCAAATACAAATACAAATAAATTTACCTCAAATCACATTATGTTTCTTCAAACTGTCTTCTTGTGAGACTGGGACACCGACTGGGAGGGCATGTACAGTACAGCAATTAAGGGTATCTTTGATCTGTTAGTCATTGGTAACTAGTACCCTCTACCGGGTTGCAGATAAGCATGTGCACTTTTCTCTGACAGCGTAGAAAAGTACCATCGATCATGTATCTAGAGACATACATGTATCTATGAATATTTATAGAAAAATCAATCTGTGGCCGTGGCAGAGGGTAGATAACTAGTGGCTAGTAGAATATCATTTAAGTATGTTTGAGGCGAAGACAGCCAGTGTACCACTACTAGACTGTTGGTGTCACATCGCCGATATTGACTTTACCTGACATTAATAATTCAGCTGGCACACTAGCGAAAATGCCACCTCGTTTGCTTTAAACTAATCTACAGTGCAGACAATTCTGTTTTCTAAAAAAGCATTGAATAGACACATGTCTTTTACTGCAAGACCTCTTCATTTCTGCACTGCTTGGAATGAATGATTGCAGGGATTTTACGCCTGCAGTTTCAAAATAACTGAAGTTAACCTTCGTTATTGTGTCCAAGATTCTCCCAATATCATGATTGTTTTACTTTTTTTCAGTGCTTGATTGAGTGTGTGGAAACAAAGGAATCTTGTCCATGTGGTCAATCTGTCCAAAAGAGCGACCGACGCTTTAAGCAATTCAAAACCGCGTTTAATTGTCTTTTCCCTGTATATTTGCCTTCAAACCAAGTCTCCGATGTACCAGCTGCATCCACTAAAACAGGTGACCGCATAGCCATTGTGCAGTTGGACGGGGAGGGAACCACAATACCCTTTCAAGCAACAATGACGGTATTGGAATTAAAACAACAAATTGAAAAATCCCTCAAGCACAAGGCATCGAAACAACGGTTGATACACAATGAAAAAGAATTAAAGGTAAATGAATTAGGTACAAATCTTATGGCATGTCGAGGAATGAGAGAGAAAGAGAGAGATAGTGGTGTCATTTACACAATTAAGACGATACAGATAAAACAAAACTGGCTACAACTTTGATTTAACTCAAGGTTACTTAAAATTAATAATTTCGATTAAAATATTAAAAAATGAATGTAACTATTCATTAAATCTTTGGTGAATTTTTTCAGGTGCGCCTTCAGGATGGCAGCCTTGCCCGCTTGTCTGATTATAATGTTCAGCCCCACAACACAATTCATCTTATGGTTCTCTTGTACGCCATTCCTGATCACTTCAACGAGGTGGTTTTTGATCTCTTTTGGGGTTATCCTTCAAGTGGGTGTGACTACTTAGATGCGTCATGTCTAGTTTATTCAGGTGGAAATTTCTGCAGTGTGATTGACTATCGCAATAGGGCGTCACCGAACAATGCAATTTGGCACTCAGGTGACGTCTTGAATGATTTTACTAAAACTGGTCACCACACGATTAACGTTAAATTAAAGAATTTACCATCAAATATATCTCATTTATTTTTTACACTTAGTGCCTGGAACTCCCCAAATATTTCTAAATACCCCAGCCCGAGTCTTAATTTTTTTGAAGCCTCAAACAAGAGCAAGAGTTTATGTAATACCACCTTCGTCCACGCTGGTCTTTCTCAGGCTGTCATTATGTGTTCAGTGTCTCGCGTGGATGGGGCTTGGCAAATATTTGAATCGGGGAAACTTTCACGAGGCAATGCAAAGAACTATGAACCTATCAAAGCTACAATAAATAAAATAATTGAATCTGGAATGTAAAGTTACAGTTAAAGAACATTTATCTTTTAAGATACAATTAAAATTGTACTTTTTGTGAATTGAACATGAACTGGATATTATACATTGAACATTTCTTATTCGTTATGTTACCCTAATTTTGTGAATTCATATTGGTTTATTTTAGTTCAGCGTCTTCTGTTAAATATAAACTACTGCAAAACATTGATATCAAGGGCGCACCCATGGGACATTTCAGGCCCTTCGGAATAAATGGTGAAATAAAGCAGGGTATACGATCTTAGACCACTGATACTAAGATTTCATGAATCAATGTTACGGTGAAGTTATTTAATCGGTATAACATGTACTTGAATTATGAAGCATTTTTTTAAATAAATATCAATAGAGATTTAGGGTCATTTCCGTATGTTTTATTCATAAAAGTATGAGTGTCAATGCAAACGTGCGAACTTAAGTTGCGGTATATCTAATGAGCTTATTTATTAATCTGATTAGACAAAACTATCAAATTTACCTTTGATCCAAGCAGAGTCCGGTACACTGTGAATTATAATGCCAGTATTTTAGGTCAGAAATTTAATATGGTCCCTTAGAGAAAATTGTTGACTATAAACACTGGGGTACGGGTCTTTTATCGGTGTTGGGGACTTGGTGCTAATTTGAAATTTTTAACCATAGAATCACCCTGGCTACAGGTCTTGTGAGGAATTGATGAATGTAACATTATTCGAATTTGTTAAATATCTTCTGCTGCAACAAACCTGTACGTACATATTAATGGAAAACAAACGCACGTGCTTCATCGTGTGATCTGGGATATCAATGGATATCTATCGAGCCTGCACACAAACGCGCAATGTGTCACGTAGACATAAGTGATACGTTATCTGCTGTAACAAGCCTGTTATTCATTAATCTGTTACTCATTAATCGAAAACAAAGGCACGTGCTCCATCGTGTGATTTGATATCGATTGAGTCTATAGGCCTACACAAACGCGTCATATGTCACGCAGGCATTTAAATAATCATAATAATGTTTCTGTGTGACACAATAAAGACTTGGAAGACTGTCAGTAGAAATGTCTGGGTCTGTCCTGTTGTAATTAAGGGTCCACCCTCTCTTTTATTTCATAGGTTAGTGGGTCCAAATCTAGGGCGAGGCTTACCTGTGCAAATTAATGGGAACCGGAGTCTCTATCGTGGGGGTCTCTCACGTCACATTTCTGAAATGCTACTTTTCAAGCATTTGTCCGTCTACGAAATTGGCAGAAGAAATACTTTGTGTTTCTTTAACGACCGCCTCTTATTTGGACAGTTTTATACTTACGTACTGTAGATGATTAAAAACTGCAGTGCATTCAATTTCTGAAAGGGTCATTTAACATTAATTTAACTTTTTTGCCTTTTTGTAGTAGTCAGAGTCATAAGACCCCTTATGTCTGTGCATATCTGACTTGTGCAATTCGGCGTGTCTCAATATACTGTAGATAAAACCAGAGTAGTTTGTAAATATGACCTATCTTTAAAGCAGCTTGTAAAAGTAGGTGTAAAGTTTGAACGATTTAAATTTACTTTGCAGCTCAGCAATAAACTGAAAAAGGAGAAAAAAGTATGAAATAATTACCACCAAAACCACAACATCGTAGCAATTACTTTTCATGAATACAATAAGTAAAATGTTGGGATAAAACAAGCTTATCATTAATTGTCAGAAAAATAATTTTCTCGCGGTACTAATTTTTTAAAATCTTAATTTAGAAATGCACATAAAATAGGAAATTTTCCTCCCCTACAGACAGCAGAAAAAGGCCTAACATCTGCAACATCTTCAAGTTTCTACCTACTTAGTTTCTCTTCAATACATATAAAGCAAAAATATCTGAGCAAATATCATTTCATGTTAAATAACGTAATAAAACTGGTATTTGAAACAATATGTCGCCATATGGTCGGGCATAATGGCAATTATTTGACGTAAATACTCGTCTTATTAGCATTTTAAACTGTAAGATACGGACGGCAATTAGTTTTCTCAGTCGTAATAAATAGTTGCAACGTACCTCATGTGCATATTTCTTTACAGTTGCGCACTTTTCTTCGGTAACATATTAGTGCTCTAATGATAAGTGGAGCAGACTTTTAACATTTCGTCTGGCTTTTACCCTTTGCTAACAAATCTGACATACAGTAAAAAAAAGACCAAACGTATTTTGACAACATGGGTTGCGCTTTTTATTTATTTTATTTATTTATTTTTTTTGTAATTATTTAACACGACATGGATTAATCATGTACAAAATTAAGTGAGTAGAAATCCAAATTCCATACATGATTATAATATTTTTAACTTGGATGCTTTAAAAGGGGCTATTAGTATCACTTTGCCCTAAAAGAGACCGTAGTGAAGGGGAAATAGTCACATATTTACATATTGAAAAAATGTTAACTCTAAGGCTGAAGTAATGGTGATGACCTGCAAGTAAACCATAGTCTGTGGTAACAAAACACGTTTCCAGACGTCCCAGCGAGCCGCAAGGTGAAGTTCTAAACAAAAATGAACATTGTTTCCATTGTTGCCAGGTTATATCGGTACTTCAAATCCCAAATTAAACTGGCGCTAATATGTCATGTCAAGGCTGTTATGAGCAGGTGGTCATCAAATCTCCGTCTTTCAAAACAGTAGGATCGGAAACAGCACCGCCCATGCCAAGTGCCATCTCGTGGACCTGAGGTGCAACAGCTTCATTTATGCATTCTTTTACTTTGTGAACATTCTGTACGCCACCTGGTGTTGAACGCCCTTCTAACTTCGACGACGCCACCAATTGATTCAGTTCTGAAATCTTAGCTTGGATGAGTGCCTTCTCCTTTTCTAATCGACATTTCTTAAGTTCTGCATCATACAGCTGAAATTGAGAAAAATACTTTTATATATATATTTAAAATAAAAAACACACACACACAATATATATCCAAAAGTAAAATAATGATAGTCAGTAAAGAGAATCCCCAGACCTTGACGAAGGAAAAATACTTAGAGAGTGCCGCCAGACATGCACAGTAGTCATGGTTATATACTGATGTTGACAAGGCATGTGAGTTTTCCTTTACATAATTGTTTTCCAAAGTGGAACATCAACTTTACCTGTTGTGGCATTTCAAACTTGTCCTTTTGTAACAAGGCTATGAACCCTTGTTTTTCCAAGAAATTGATCACACGTCCTAAAATATTTTGAACGTATTGAAATAAGATCACATGCAATGAAAAAGTAATTCTACCAAGAGAGTGAAAACAATGTTAGAATAAGTGAAAAAAATCAGATCCAAACTTTTTAGTTACGCTCTACAGGATTAACAAAATGAAAAAAAAAAAAACAATTATTATTATCTTAAATATAGTTTTCCCTAATCAAAGCTCTAATTGGATCTATTCATATCAAAAAATTAGAAAAATTAATTAGCAAGGTTCACATCAATTTTCAATCGGCATTTACTGACATAAAAAACAAAACAAAAACCAAATATTGTTTTATGTAAGTACACCATAAGTTTCGAATAGTATTTGATTCACCAGATTATTGAATTGGAACTAACCAACATACTTTTCGTTTTTTCTTTGTTGACTGCATCCAGTTCTTCTAAAACAGTTTTCTGCATCTCACTTGTCTTCATAGCGAGGCTTGCCAATTCACCCTGAAAACAAACACGCAGGATTAAACAGTTTGTAAAACTAGCTTGTGGAATATATTTACACTATCTATAACAATCCAAGTAAAGAACTATGCTTGTATAATGTGCAACATGCCAAACGCCCCTTCTCCTTCTTACTGAAAAAGATAAACAAAAATCTAGACATGAAGAAAAATTACCGTTGTCTTGGTCAGCATAAAATGCAGCTCTTCTACTTCCCGGTCTCGTGATGCCAATGCCAGTGCTAATTTGTTCACTTTTCTCTTAAGATCTGCCTTTTCGCGGGCCTCCAGAATTTCGCTTTTGTCTTTTGCAGTGAGAACTTCATTTAAGGCAGCAATAGCCTTGTCTTGTTGGGCAAGCCTCTTGCATTTAAATCTCAGGTATTTCTTAAGAATTTCTAAAAGATAACATTTTACCTGTGAAACACTTATATTTTTTCCGAGTTAAACAACATGTTTTTGGATATCGATAGCAGTCTCGTTATCGCAGCGATATTTCGTTACGTAGCGACAACCACCTAATATTTCAATTTACAAAGAAAAATGAATAAATAAATAAAATAACTTAACAGTGAATTGCATACCGAGTTCATATTGCTGCTCTGAAACTTTACGTAGGATGGCCAGCTTTTCCTCCTGCAGCGTTGCGTTTTGCTGGTTTATGAGCTTCAGTTCCTGATTCTTTTCATCACATTTCTTCTCAATCATTGCTGTCAATGGAGTCACATGACAAAAAGCATCATCTTAATATATGGTTTTCCAATTTTTTTAGGGAGAGAGGTGGGAGAGCATGACGTTCTGATAATTACTAATTATACTGAACTGTATGTTTTGGATAGAGATCAACAGTTTATGTTTTTAATCATTATCAATTCCTTTTACGCAGTCTGGCCGTCAAGAATGTTTTTAAGTTGAGATGGAACCGTTGACTCACCAATGTTGTTTTCTGATTCTGTGATATGAGTGGACATATTTTCCATTTTGTCCTCAAGATCGGCAATGTGAAGGGTTTTCTGGTTGACATCATTAAGGGTTTGCTTCATAGTCACAAGAACCTGGTTCAGACTGTGATTCAATGTGATCATTTCTTTTCCATTATAATAATGTTCAGGATCAACCTTATTGGCGAGGTTCTGTAGCCTAACTCTTTTCTTCTAAATAAGCCTGAAACATAAGACAAACCAATGCCAAAAAACTAGTAAGGAGCTTTCAAACAGAGGTTGTATTTTTTATACGAAACATTGTTACGTGGTTATAAAAAACAAACTTACCCATCGTCGATTTTATCTGTTTATGTCTCCGTAGTTACATGAACATTTGTTGTTGTGAAAATTACGTCATTGCATCTATGACGCAACACAGCACGCTGCATAATACAAATGTAGGCTTACTTAGCGCTTTCAAAAACAATAATGGCAAAAACTCTTTTGATCCACGTTCAAAGCTTCAGTCTGTGTGTGGGCATGTTATTCTACATCACCACATTACATATTTCACCAAAATATCTATAGGCCCTAGGGCCTACTCCGATCTACTCCTTGCAATCTAAACATTACTTTTAGGCTACTTGGATCACTGAGCACGGGATCTTTAAATTGAAAAAAAAAAAAAAAAAAAAACTTGTAAGAATTCTGGTAATTAGGCAAATCAAAGTGGTCTAAAAGTTTTGATTTTATCGCTAAGACCAAACTTTGTTCATACATGTAGGGGCCTATGTGTTTTTGTGAATTAATTTATATTTACAGATTTTAAATTAGGCCTACCACATTTCAACGTTTACCAATTGATCTGTCTTTATCTTATATTGAAACATTTCTTCTATTTTTATGCTGGAAGTAAGATTTTTATATACACTCCGATCTATAAAACAACACACAAGGCCCATTTTTAAGGCTACGGGGAAGGGTCCCTATAATTTTTTTTATCATATAGGGCCTTAAGTGTCACCCCCCCCCCCTCCTCCCTTCCTGTCAAATCCATCAGCAGTATTTTATCTTCTTTCACTCGGCGTCTACATGGGTAGGGCTACCACAAGTGGTACAAAGAACCTGCTTGCGTGTATTGGTGGGGGAGGGGGGGGGGGCATTTTTTTGTTATGAAGATCGGTAAAATGTGTTAGAGAAGACAACACGGTGACGTCATTGTGTGGTCTTCTTAGGCAGGAGATTTGAAAAGAAGTAACTCGGGAAGCATTGAAAAATCCCCTGTAAAATTGCGCGGATCTTAACACTACTAGAAAGATGGCTTTCAGTTTTGGTACCACGGCTGCGAAACCCGCACTTGGCACTGTCACTACTTCGGCTCCTACTTTTGGGTTTGGCACGACAGGAACTGCTGGCACCCAGAGTACAGGTAGGTGAAATTTAGACTACACTGTAAATTGAACATTGATTAACCAATTCGCTACAAATGCCCAAAGCAAAAATAATTTGATTTGGAAATTCACGTAACTTGAAATGTGTCCAAACCATAACCGGTGATGTGGTGGTGACAGCTGATTTCGCTTTGGGTACAGAAAACTGCCATCTAATGCAAAAGCCAACATTTTAATTAGTAATTAGTAACTTAATTCTTGGGCCTAGGCTTTCTTGTATTTATAAAGGCTTTCACATTTGCTTTGTTTGTGAGACACTAAAAATGAGTTAACTCTGCACTTACAGTTTTTGCTACATTCATGAATCCTACACATGGTATCTAAGGATTTGTATTTAACTAAAAAGGAATTTAGGACAGAATCAGAAAAAAAAGAGGGTACTAGTGCATCTCACATGTATATATGATATACATGTATAACAGTACATTAATCATAATGATGTTTTCTTTTCAGGTTTTGGGTTTGGACAAAAGACAACCACAGCTGGGACAGGTTTTGGTGGGTTTGGGACTACAGCAGTCACCACCACATCTGCTGCTACTGGTTTTGGAGGTGCATTTGAACTGTGTTTTTTACAATCTTGCCATGGAATGTCTGATTACTTTGTTATCCTTTTAGTCTTCTGTTATCTTAAAAAAATTTTCTTTGTAAGATTTGTTTTGCCTAGGGATATTCTAAATTTTTTTTTGCAAATTAATTCCTGTAAATTAATAAGGATTGTTGAAAGTAATCTTTTTTTTCTGAAGGTTTTGGTGGTTTTGGAGGCACCACGTCCAGCAGTTTTCCTACACTCACCACATCAACAGCAGCAACAGGTCAGTTCAGAGGTCATTCTTATTACTTATTATCGGTATATATAAATTATCCTTAGTCTTCAAATTTTCACATAAATTAATTTTTGGTGTAAAAAGGCCTAATGCTCATTGTCTCATTGTGTGTGGACAAGATCAAACTACCCTTACAAAAAATCGTTACACAGGGCCTGACATTAGCGGCAGCCTGCTAGCCTAGGGCTAGTGGACTGCTAGGTCTGGCAACCAGACCCTTTCTGCCAGTGACCCGCTTGGGCTACCTATGATTTTGAAGATGTAATTTACACATTTTAACCAGTTGGAGCATTCTCTGTCACCAGTTATCTGACTGACCTTGACACTGGCCCCTATCTAGTAATAAAGACTTCCCAAAATAGAAACTATACAACATACTAGTACTCGGGCATAACAGCCAGTTTTAGACCAGATGAACTGGATAAATGTAGTTCATTGTCAGGACAACATACTGCCTGTCAATTAAATGTGTTTTATGCTATCCCCGCATAAACCATTCGAGGTAGGAAAGTAAAAGATCTAATTGAAATATTGTTTATTTTCAAATATATAACTTAAAATTTTGTAAGATATTTTATTTAATGACTCTAGCGTCACCTATGTTATTTAAAGTTCAAAATTAAGTGCTGGGATTTGATAAATTTGCAGTGCTGTCATATACCAATGTGATATTGATGTAAGGAAGAAATTAGTAATAAAATGTGACAATTTGAATAAAAGGAGGGAAATTTTTCAAAATGACTGATTTACTCTATTCATATACAGTGATTGCGAAAGCCGTCGGACCACGGCCATATGCCGGCAAAAGTTCTGTGGGCTGGAAAACCCTTTTAACTCATCGGCCCACATGTCCGACTGACTAAAGTCAGTTTCTTTAACAGACACCTCGCCTCATATTTGAATTTATCGTAAAGCTCTAAGTACGCACTATTCGCAAGTAAAACTTTAACTTGCGCCATACTGGCGCGTTTTGTAATAAAGGTATACGTACATTATGATGTCGCTTGAAGTGTGCGTAGCGATGGTGTGAGGGCTGACATGTGACCCGTTTCACAAAAAATATGTATTGAAACTGAAACAACTACAGGTCAAAGAAAAACGTACTGCTCAAGACTCTGAAAACCAGCCGCTCAAACTGCTTACGACTGGCCACGCGCGGACCTCTGAGAACACCTAACTACACGTGCTGGGTAAACAAGTATGGCTTCCATCGGACTGCATGTTGAGTAAACGATAAGTGAAATATTCATTTGCTTTTTAGATGGGTGNCACTGCATATATTTAAAAAATCAAATACATGATAACCCGTAAAGAAATTAATTTGCTAATATAAACTTAAATTTAAAAAACTTTCATGTCAAAAAAAAATTATTGGTTTTGTTGGACAGGTCCAATGTATAACCACCTGTCTGAAGGGGAAAATGTTAGAAAGTTATAATTGTACTGTGCAGAATAATTGTACTGCATGGAAAAGATAGGCAATTCCAATGTGTGTTGTGAATAGAAATTATACCATTCACACACTGAAAATGATGTTATCCCTCATTATGAGACATGCTGCACCTCTACAGCCAAATTACAACAAATGTCCCTAAAAGTTTTATGATGAGCACTTATCTTAATCTGAAAATTAATGTTTCGGAAGAAAGCCATTTTTGTTTACTCAGCAGGTGTAGTTAGGTGTTCTAAGTTGTCTGTGTATGTGCACACAACCATTCATGACCAATTTGAGCTGCCTGTTTTCAGTGTTTTGGGTAGTACATATTTTTTGACCCGTACTAGTGTTTTATAATGACACTGATGTCATAGCAAAACCTCAAATGTGGTTGTCATGAGATTTTTTTTTAGACTAGTTTACACATTTTACCCAAAACAATACAGAGCGAGGGAGTAACTGACAAATCGTACTGTTAAGAATTTATTTTGAGAAGTTCTCACACTTTTGACATTTGTCAGACAGTGTGGATAATTAGTTTGAGTTCAAAATGATAAAGTGAGTTCCAGTACATTCCATGCATTGGCTTTTAAAAGTTGAATAAACGATGCTTGCTTCTTTTGCACCAAACTTACTAATTTACACAAATTCTCAATTCACATACAGACAAATTTAAAGTTCATTACAAATGCTGAAAATACAATATTCAGTTGCAAATTAGTACAAAAAATGGAAAAGGTAATTGTGTGAGGTCTAGGTATAAAAAAGATATGATGCCTTACGGCTTCATGGAATACATCCATGAAACATAGTCCTCTAGGCCAAGTAATTTACAATAGGATGCTGCATACAGACAATTTTTATGAGGTGAATGAGCTTTAAAAATTTTTTTTTACTTCTCCAATACTAGTTAATAGCCAGAAATGTGACCTTATTTAAGTTGAACTTCTTAAGTAACCAAATGAAAAAAACATATTTAATAAATATCATCAAAGAAGAAAGAAAAAGGAATACCTAAAGAAAAGGGAAATGATTATACATCATGTTGTAATGATAATACATCACGTTGTAAAATAAAAAGTACACTGCAAAGCTGGCAAATGTAAACAAATGTGAAAGCAATAAAAAATATTTTACAAAAAATGCATTTGGCAGAAAATTCTGATATTTAAAACAAAGTCACTCAATAAATATGAAAGCAAAAATATGGTTTGCAACTTGTGGGTTGAATGTCACCAAAAATTCAGCTACTTTCATAAAAATAATGATCTTATTATGTGGTTTCTAAAAAATAATATACAATTTTTCTTTTGCTTTTAGAAAAAAACATGGCCTGGTAGATAAGGTAGAAAACAGATGTGTTAAATGCATCTGGACAAAGCTGGTGATAAGAAATTGAATACATAGACATATGCAGTTTGTATATATATATATATATATATATATATATATATATATATATATATATATATATATATATAGAAGGTATTGTCATTGCTCCATTCTAACATAAACTGGCATATTGCAATCAGCATCAAATAAAAAATTCAAACTTTTCAAAATATGTAGTGACTGACTTCAGTGCGTACCTGCGGTCTAAAATATGATTGCTTCTTTTGTACTGAACTTGCTATTTTTACACAAATTTTCAACTCGCATACAGACAAATTTTAAATTCTTTATTAATGCCGAAAACGCAATATTCAATTGCAAATAAGTACAAAAATTAGAAAAGATAATTGTGTGATACCTAGTAGTAGTAGTAATAAAAAGATATGATGCCTTATGGCTTCATGGAATACGATGAAACACTTCAGGCCAAATAATTGTTTACAATAGGGTCCTGCATACAGTTAAATTTTTTGAGGTGTGTGAGTTTATTGCTTTCAAAAATGAACTTTTTACGTCTTCAATACTAGTTAATAGTCAGAAATGTGACTTTTTATTTAAGTCGATCTCCTGAAGTAATCAAATGGAAACAGTATTTGTTAATAAATGTCATCACAGAACAAAAAAGGAATACCTAGAGAGAAAGTAATGATGATGTATCATGCAGAATAAAATCTCGATTGCAAAGCTATATAAATGTGAAATCACTTTCAGTGAAATATATTTTACAAAAAAAGGCATTTGGGAGAAAATTCTAATGAAATAAAGTCACTCAGTAAATATGAAAGCAAAAATGTGGTTTGCAACTTGTGGGTTGAATGTAGCCAAAAATTCAGCAACTTCATAAAAATAATGATCCTGTTATGTGGTTATTATGTATTGCTCCATTCTAACATCAACTGGCATATTGCAATAAATGAAAAATTCAAACTTTTCAAAATGATAGTGACTGACTTCAATGCATACCTGCCTCCCAAAACATGTTTGCTTCTCTTGAACTGAACTTGTTATTTTACACAAATTTCCAGTTTTACACAAAGCTCTTTACAAATACAGAAAGCACAATATGCAATTGCAAATTAGTACAAAAAATTGGAAAAGGTGATAATGTGTTGTCTTGCTATAAAGGGGATATAATGCCTTGAGGCTTCAGGATGTCCATCTGCAAACCATACGTTCCCTCAGGCCAAATAGTCTTAAATATTTCAGGGCATACAAAGTCAGTTTTATGGCATATTCCTTAACATTCAGTTGTGGGCTGCTTGAACCTTTTTTATTTTTTTCCAATCTATATGTCTGAAAAAGGATTTAATCATCAGAAACGTGACTTTTAATAACTTGAAGGTAATCTGATGCTGTAATTAATGTCATTGCAGAAGAAAAACAAGAATACATGAAAACTTGGAAGAAAAAGGTAATCAAGTCAGAATTTTCATTTACGTCATACTTTTGAAAAATGAGAAAGCAGCTTTCAACTCAAGCAGTTTATGCTATGGTACTTGCAGTTGTATCCACTGCAGTATATATTACTTTATTAATCATGCTGAACTCTTACAGTAGAGGCATTACCTTCCATCATTTATTGAAAAAAGCTCCATATTTTGAGCAAGCAACAAAATATGACAGGCAATTTAAACATAAAGGGGTCCAAGGGCAGGAAGAGAATGATCTTGCAGAACAACATGGCGAGGTTAGAAATGGCATTGCTGAAAAGGCACAGCTAGAACATGCCTGGTCGTATTTCAGCCCTCAGACTGATTCTAAAGGTGATACTGACAACAATACAAGATACAAGTACAATTTTAATGTGACAGCTGTCTCACAACCATATACTGTATATTTATATAGAAGAAAGAAAACAGGTATCAGCAAAAAAGACTGTGTTGTCGTCCGGAGGAAGTAATTTTCGAGTTGAGGTGACAGGAAATGAATCCATGGTGTGTCCGGTGAGAGATTTCTTTAATGGAACCTACGTTGCATATTGTGATGTTCATTCTGGTATACAGGGTATAATTTACTTAGACTACACGGACTTTGAAGCATTCAGACACCATGATAATGAAAAACGTGCTCATCCCAACAGAATTCATAGAATTATACACTCTTTTAATTATGTTCCCCTTGAGAAATGGCAATTGGAAAAAGAAAAGACAAAAAGAGACTGTTTTGAAACAAATATTGCGGAATACCTCAATGGACGCTGGTGGAAAATTCGAGGACAGTGGAAATGGGGAACAAAAAGCAAATGTATTTTCGAGTTCATCAGTGAGGCAGACCTTTGGAAATGTTACAACAGGAAAACTACTTTTAGAGTCTTTGGAGATTCACACCTCAGATATCTTAGTAATTACTTGAATCAGCTATTGTCAAAATATAGGCATATGTCACTGGATACAGTCAATGTAACCACTGGTTTAAATCACACAAACTCCAGAAAGAATCGAAAGAAAATTATGGGTCTAAGCAAAATTGTATTTGGATGGACTCCCCATGCTTCCCACTGCGAAAAAGCAATCAGATCACTTTTCTCACGATTTGACAAAAAGCCCGCCACCAGAGATGATGTAGTTTTGATGGGGTTTGGGATTCACGAATTAGTACTTACACACCAGAGTGCCTACAATCTTGTTAATCATTCCTTGCCCCATTTTGTGGACTTCCTACGCAATGTAAGGGAAAACCATAATGTTTCAAATATTCGCCTCATATACCTAAATATTCTGCCGAGGGTTTTGGGCCAGATGGACGGGAATGATTACATGGTTGCAGCAGTCAATGAAATCATCAGAGAGCAGCTGGTAAAATACAGTGTAGAAATCATTGACAGTTTCAATATTCTTAACCCAATGAAATGGACCCCATGTGATGAAGCACATTTTCTATGCCCAGTAAATAATGACCCAAGCATATACGAAGGCCATGCTGGAATGACACTGGCCCATCTTTTCTTCAGAATTATGTGCGATTTGTAGAATGCCTTGACAACCCTTAAACTTCGTTGCATAATATGTATTATCGATGGCTGTTCACTATAGATTAAAAGTACTTCATTTTGGATGCTATTTTCACAGTGAGGGTGACTGTCTTAGCAAGCATTCAGATTAAAGCATACTGACTGGGTTGGTCGAACTGTGCAGGGGTTCTTGATAAAGTGAAATCGGTGTTGTCAGCCCATTCAGCACACAATAGTTAATTGCCCCCTAGCTGCTCGAAGAGGCGTGTCAGACAATTAAGCTGATTCCACTGATTGCACTATACAGTGGAATTCCCCCAGAGTTAGACTGACCCAGCAGGTAAGATGTACATGAAAATCTGAATTGGGTCTTAGGGAAAGCATGTAGATGAAGTTCAAAGGCAAAATTATTAACTTAAATACTGGACACTCACATAAATCTGCTAGATGTTTGCAGAGACTCCTACAAAGTACCTTGTGTACATCTGTGAAAATACAAAGTTGAAGTTTTCCTCTCAAATAAGTTTATTCTTCCTAATAAGCTGTGTTATTTTGGGTAGTATCAGCCTCTTAGCTATCTGTATGATATGTTGTGGGTGAGGTTTTGCTCATATATATTTGATATTAAATATATATCTTTATCAAGATCAGTAGAATTATGTTATTCTGTTGTCAAACTACTGTCAACTAAGAAACAAGATGTGTGTAAGATGCTTAAATGGTTTCACTCTTGTATGAAGTAAAGCTATACCAAAAAAAAAAAACCAGAATACCATGTGGTACTTCTGTGAAATTACATATAGATGGCTTCAGTTTTCTGTGAAGCAAAGATAACCTAAATATTAAAATGTATCTCCGCATCAGTTTTTACTTAAAGGTATCCATCAGGGATTTTCAAAACTGACTTATTTATTGATCTGCCCCTGTACTTGGGAGTTGTGAAGCAAAATGGTGAATTTTGGATTTCATCCAAGAAAAACTGAAATGTTTATCTAATTCAGATAACCTGTTTTTAATGACTGAGGAAGCACTAGTAAATTTGAAAAAAGGGAATTACATGTACGTTATAAATTAAATGATATTAATGGAAATACTATATTTTAAATCTTATTTTAAAAAAGTTATAAATAACAGGAAGTAAAAGAAGAAACAGTACTTTTATCATCACAGCTCATTGCTAACACATTTATTTTATATTATATACCTACAAGTAAGCCCCACTAGTACCTCTCTATTGTCGCAGTTACCGGTATTTTTCATAATTAACCTTTTAAATCCAGTACTTCATGTTAAAATGTTAGTAGGAGGGTAAAGTTTTTTATTTCATCTAATGGTAAATTTCTAAAATGGTCACTGTCACTGCCACCACTGTCATACTGTGAATCAGTCACTGACTTTCATGTGATGGTATCTGGCTGATAAGAGCAACTTTTTACAACGACTGGCTAGCCATGGCCTTGCAAACAAAAGTGATTCATGGAAATTCTTTCTCCCAAGCTAGTTGAAATGACAACTGCCTGGAAATTACATATTAATTGCTTCTTTTCTGGTTTTTAAGGCAGCGATAGGTCTTTTTTGCCTCCATCCCCACTGCGGTAGGTTTTAAGAAGCAAATGTGTTGTTAATGCCCCTGTTTCACACAGACCAGGAATCCCACGAATCGCCAGGAATTGACAAATTTCAGGATTCGTGAGATTTTGCAAATTTTCTGGCTTAATTCGCTACGCTCTACGATTAAGTTACGATACAGGTGCAATAGTATTACGAATGTTTGCGGGATTCGTCTGGAATCACACGATTTTGTCAAGAATTCTCTACGATTTACAAGAATTTATTACGAATACTGCACGAACGTTACAAATCAATAAAGAATCAGTTCCTACTACTGGAATCGCACGATTTTTTCAAGAATTCTCTACAATTTTTTCAAGAATTCTCTACGATTTACAAGAATTTATTACGAATACTGCACGAACGTTACAAATCAATAAAGAATCAGTTAAGCATACGCTGAATGCATGCATGAATTGGGTACGAATAAAAGTGATTTCTGGATTATTCTTGACATTTCGTGTTATTTCCTCTCCGTACATGCTTCGGCGAATATTCGTGGGATTCATGACTGATTCGTAGCCGATTCGTAGTCAATGCAGGGATTCATGAATCCCCGAATGAGTTAAGAATACATACGAATGTCTACAAATCGATTACGATTCAGTTACGATGCCTAAGAATGAAATACGAATTTGCTACGAATTGAATATGATTTTTTGGAATCGGGAGTTCGTGGCCAAAATTTTGAACAGCTCAGAATTTTTGCCAAGAATTCCCGATTGATCAAGATTTGGAAGAACTGACTACGAATATATACAAATTTGTTAAGAACTTCACGAACTGATTACGATTCAACCACAAATCCTGAAATTTGTCAATTCCTGGCGATTCGTGGGATTCCTGGTTTGAGTGAAATAGGGGCATAACAGAAACAACTTACTTAAAAAGCCAGCACAAAACATGTACAGATGCAGTACTTGGTTTCAAATTATAAATCTTTCAGTTGAAATTTCCTAAAAAAAAAAAAAAAGAATAAATAAATAAATTCTCGAAGCACAACACTTTCAAAGGCAAAAATGTGAACTCTTATACAGGACACTCATACAGATCTGCTGGATGTTTTGCAGAAACTACCGTTTCATTCTGTCACATACATGTGACACTGCCGCAAGATGTCCTTGTGATAAAGGATGAAACGACATAAAATATTTGTTAGCAAACTTACAGTAAAGGTTAGTTACAATTGCATGAACATCAAAACAAATAATTCGGGGCCATAATAAGAAAATACTCAAAAAGTGACAATAAATACACAAGATAAAAACTGCAGTTTTAGATTGCCAAACAAGTGTCCCCTACAAGGGGAGTGTTTGTCTAACAACATTGTGTATCAAGCAGCAGTTACAGTATGAAGTAAATGGGCTTTTGTGGTGGGCAATTCAAGTTAGGATTTAACAACTTCACTAAATCATTAAGGGACAAAAAATATTTGTCAGAAACTGAGCTGTCAAAATATATTTGGAGATTAAAAGAAAGTAATATTAAAGGGATAATAACTCTTCATATGAGATCTATATTTCACAATAAAAACATTGTGAATAACTCATAGAAATATAATATATTCTGTTTTACCAAAAAAAAAAAAAAACGGCAGTTATAGCTATTATTCTGATATCTGAGCTTGTCTTTAGACCACGTGACCTCCATTGATGGCTATACTCTGTTAAAATCTCTTAAAAGATTTTAACAAAAAACCAAACTTTTTAGAAAAAAAACAGGGACTAACTTTGAATGTAAAAATGGATTCATGAACCATTGGTAAGTATGGGAAAATTGTTGTTTACTTCAGGAAAATTCATTTTTTGGCCGAAACGAAGAGTTATTATCCCTTTAAGTATGAAATAAGGCAGGACATCATCAAAAAATCTCCAACACTTAAGAGGAACCAAAACCTGTGTAACCTTTATCCAGATGAAAAGCTGTTTTAGCATAATTAAAATTATGCTTACACCAGATACACTGAACAGAAGAACAGAAGTGGTAACCATGTGCCATCACAAAATGGCATATTACCCTGGAGGAAATTAGTCCAATATCCTTTAAAGCACTGTCCCGTCAAAAGACAATAGGTCGCGCCGTGCTTTATTTCGTGTAAAGTCACGTCATCCACGAATGCGTTCCATGCACCAGTGCACAGGGTTAATTAATCGTGCTTTAAGCCAGATAAAGCACTCGGCGCTGAGCTTTACGAGAAATAGAGCAGATAATTGTCTCGGCTTCGCCTCACCAATTATCTGCTCTATTTCTCGTAAAGTTCAGCGCCTCGTACTTTATCTATACCATAGAACGTCCAAGGGAATGCCCATAGAGACCCATAGAGTCCTGAAGGAAACTTTCATGTGTACTTGCCATATGTACTTAGACTTCATTTGATTTCAGGAGGCGGCTTTGGAGGTTTTGGCACTGGATCTGCCCTGGGTGGCGCAAGCAGTACACTAGGTTTGTGAATGGCATTGGGTTCTTTATCATATAATCAGAGTGATTTGCACTTTTAAATTTAAAAATTCAAATTTAAATGAAGATCATAGTTTATTGCTCAATTGTTTGATGCAATTTATTGTTAATTATGTCAAGCTCTGCTTCTAGTTAATCCATGTGAATATCAGTGTGCAATACATCTTTGCAAAATTGTCAAACTTTTGCATTGTTTATATAGAATTCTGAAACCTCATCAAATTTTTTCATTCAATTTAGCTTCACAGCAGCAGCAACAACAACAACAGCAACAGCAGTCCAACTCTGTTGCTAATATGGCTGCTGCTGTATCCATGCCAATCATTTTTGGTGATGAGAGAGATGCCATCATTGCTAAGTGGAACCAAATGCAGGCATTCTGGGGGGTTGGGAAGGGCTATTACAGCCAGCAAGGGGCCCCTGTGGCTTTCACACCAGACAACCCTTTCTGTAGGTTTAAGGTGAGTGTTTTAACACAATAAATAGACATGTGTAAAAGACGTTTAAGACAGCTGCCCTTAGATTAGTCTCTCTCTCTTTTTTTTCTCTCTCACACACACACACACACACACACACACACACATTTTTTTAAATAGAGACTTATGTACAAAAACATTCCATTTTAGGCTGTGGGTTATAACTGCCTTCCTAAGAGTAAAAATGAAGATGGTCTGCTTGGCATAGTCTTCAAGAAGAAACACAGTGAGGTGTCCCAGGTACAACAAGCAATAGTGGACAAGTTGGGACAACTGATGGGAAGTAAACCCACATTATCTGTGCATGTAGAGAACACAGTTACGCTTCCAGATGACCAGTAAGTATTTTGATGTTTGGGAAATAAATTCCAATTGTTAAACTGTGTAATTTGTTTTAGAGCAACTCATTGATTTTGCCTCCACAGGAGGTGATATTCAAAAAGAAAAAAATTCCCATGTACATCATTTGAGTATTTAATAAAGATTTTGAATACACATTTTCATATAAATAACAAGCTTCAAATTTGAATTTGATGTCTTTGTTAATGTACTGTTGCATTTTTCATAAAGTATCAGTTTGATATTTATATTTATTTATTTATAATCAAAAAGGACTGAGCTAATAATCTATGTAGTGGAAAGACAGCCGACGGGCGTGTCCAGAAGAATTCCATCTACTGAGCTTTATGCATTCATGAACCAAGCCAATATTAAAACACAGCTGGGGCAGATGGAAGTTGTGAATATTCTCCCAAAGACGGGCTTCACTGCAGAACAGCTCAAGTTTTACCTGGATAATCCTCCTGCTGGTTGGTCTTGTTAATTTTTTTTAAACATCTTATTGGTAAAATGATGATAAAGATTCTAGGAAGGAAAAACCTATTTAGACTATAGGAACAATTTGCCATTTTTACCATGCTCTTATTGTGGCTGTTGCTACAGTGTAACTTCTGTTTCTTTCCCTCTAAAATAGCTTGTCCTTTTAATATTGAAATAATAATTTCTAGCATTAACTGAAAAATGGTAATATGTAAACAATATCAACTGTAACAATATTTTCTCATTAATTCAAGAACCCAAGAACAATATTGACTCCAGTCCTATTGAATTACTTTTCCGCATTATTTTTTTAGGAATTGATCCACTGCTGTGGCAACAGGCAAAACTTGACAACCCTGACCCCGAGAGCCTGATACCAGTCCCCATGAAAGGTTTCAAGGAACTTCATGACAGGCTAAAATTCCAGGAAAGGCAGACTAAGCTACATCAAAGTAGACTAGATGTGAGTTGGAGATGTGACAAAGCAAAAATATGGAAAAGCTTTGCTTTTGAAATATTACTCCAAACTTTTAATGTAACTTGTCTCTTCACATGCTTCTTTTTACCATAACCTAAGTGGCATTTAGTCTGAAAAAATGTAGAGGACCTTGTTTTTGTGTAATAATCTGAAATTTTATTCTCACTTCTAGATATAAACATTGTTTTTGAAATGCATCCATAAGATGGCTTTTTAATATCAAGAGCATCTTTACTTCGAGAAAAGTGTTTTCAAGTGAACTTTAAAACATTTACTTTAGAAAAATCTTGATATTTATCTGAATAGCTTATTGGACAAGACATCACTGAACAACAGCGTAACCTTGCTAACATGGTGGCAAGAACAGAGCAGTACAAGCGCAAACACTTAGAGCTGGGGCACAGAGTTCTCCAGGTAAGCAAATGTACTATTACCCTTGTACCTCTTTAGTTATAATTCTTGCCCAGTGCACATTGAATAGCTGAATAATATTATAAAAATAAGAACTTTTAAGTTTTATTTTATTACATTTTCAATATTGCATGACATTACATCTCTTTAACAAGTGTAAAATTGATAGTTTGATTTTAATACTACATTGAAAAATAGAACTCCTCTGTTTTGACTATTTATCTTCAGTATCATGTATTCTTAATATGTACCCTGTCATCAGTCAAATTCCTCAAATCTGCAGTGTTAATGTATGTGCTAAGTATCTTTTTTAAACACTGCAATCTTTCCATTGCCCCAGGTGATGGTTCGTCAGGAGATCTACAGGAAGCTGGGCTATGCCATCCAGGCAGATGAAGAGCAACTGAGAGTTCAGTTAGAGGCTTTGCAGGGGGAGCTGAATGCACCCACACAATTCAAGGTGATCTGCGGCAGTAGCCATTAATATATCATGTAATACTGGTTGTCATGGGCAAGGAACTGTGCACTGTGATTTACTCATTGGGCAATTGGCTAACAAAAAATTATTGAAAACTTAATTTTCCATTTAATAATATTTGCGTTAATTTTACTTTCTCTCTAAGAAAAATGAAACTGTGTTCTTTAAAGATTACAGGTAGCTATCTGGTAAATTTCACAACAATTTCAGAATTTTGAAACATTAGACTAGTTTTTGCACATAATTTTATATAAAAGGACATTGGATTTCTTTTTTGATTACTAAAGTATATCATACTTTTCTATTCAGGGACGCTTGAATGAGCTCATGTCACAAATTAGGATGCAGAACCAACTTGTTACATCAAGGAGTGAGGCCAATTATCAGTTGGATACTGCCATGCAGTTAGAAATAAGACAGGTAGGCCTTTGGTTAGAATAATGTGCACTTGTTCATATGTAAACATGTACATATGCATGTAGGAGCATCTGTTCTCTATACTGTTGCTACCTTCAATGTTTTTTTTTTTTTTTTTTTTTTTTTTTTTTTTTTTTTTACAGAAGCTAACAGCAAATGTTGATTAGTGAGATTAAATAAGATGACATTGCACATCATGTTTTTTTTAAGAAAATGAGATGGAAATTGATCATTTGTTTACATCTTTTTCCAGCACTTGAAGCAGCAACAAGAAGGACTGCAACATCTTATCAGCATAATTAAAGATGATATGGAGGATTTGAAGTTAATAGAGCAGGGGTTGGTTGTTGATGTTAAACAGCAAAAAAGGTGATCTCAAAAGGCCTGCAGGCTACCAAAACGGAATACAAAACAACAATGAAGAATGAAGACATTTTCTTTCATAATAAACAGATCTCTGAGAACCAATTTATAGCCACTGGATAGTGAAAACGAAGCAAAGATAACATAGTTTTAATGTAAAAGAGAAATAATGAAATATGACATCACTGAAAACAGTAAAGATTGTTACAGATTCTAAATGAAAGTTAATGGTGACATGTTTTTATATAGAAATAATATAATACATGATAAATGTGAAGAACTGACAAAGCCCTTTATTTTATTTATAGTGTAGCATTTCAGTAACAAACACATAATTGAAATAATGTATACCATAAAAAAGTGACTTTTGTTGGTGAATTGTTTGTTTTATAATCTCTGTATGTTTCATGGCAGTGTGATAATATCAAAACAATTACTGTTGCAAGTTTTTAAGAGCTTGCATCTTTTTGTATTGTTTGACATTTTAACTGATCCAAGAATGCTTCTGTTTTTAACTTGCACATGCTTTTGGGAAAAAAAGAAAATTTTTGAAAAAGAAATATGCATTGTGCAAAAAATCCTTAAAAGATTGAATTATTACATATCAGTGATCTGATAAAAGATATGTTATTAACAAGATGTCATCTATCCATCATGAAACTTGGTTTTGTGGGTCATTTTTACAGAAAAAACCATCCAGTAATTAAAGACAGTTTTGTATTTACAGTTTTATTTATTTATTGTACCATACGCATAATTTGAGTCACACTACAGAGCTGATACAAATGGCAGCATTCCAAGTTTTCAGAATTTCTTTAAATGTGACTATCATACCCTCCATTACTACAGATTATGATACATTCAGAACAACACAGATGTCATAAATATTTTCAAATATAAATTATATTTGGAATTGTAAAATTTTAAATTCTATAATGACCACTGTAACAAAGGCCCTGTATCTGCCAATTTGAAAGAGTTTGCCCTAATCCGTTTCCACACTCTAAGTAATACCAGTACCTTAATATTTTTCCATAGGAGCACTTAAACAGTGCGGCAGTATCTTGATCCTTTAAACCTTCAAACCTGGGTAATTCTTGCCTTGTTGCATGTTTGAAATATAAATGATAAGTTGCTGCTTGTATTTTGTTCTAGTTCCTCTTTGCAGCTGCTTGTTCACCATACAATTTTGCTTCATCTGGCTGATCATCTATTGAGCATCTTTATACACCAATTTTTCAAAATATTTTGATGCAATTAGATTTCTTTTTATTTTACAATACACTTTTTCCATCAATGATCATTCATATTCTCATGCTGAGAAAATTATATTTCATTTAAGAAAGTTTAAATAAAGATCCATGACTATGTGAATGACAGAATGCATGGAAAAAGCTAGCCAATGAAAAATATCGAAATGACCTTGACAACAACTGTTATTTGATTGGAGCTAATATCTACAAGCAGTCATTTCATGTCCGCACCTGGAACTTTCCAGCTTTTGTGATGTACTTCACACCTTTGAATGGTTTGTATTTCTGAAAACAAGCAAATGACAAGTTGTATTAGCAACTGTGTGGAAGACGTCTTAAAAACGTTTTATTTTTGAGAATATTGAAACCTCAAAGCTACACTGCTATCGATTATTTTCTTAAACATAACTTTCAGGTTTTGGCCTCATTTAAATGTCAAAGAGCTGACAGTGACTACACAACACGAACTCAAAAACTGAATTAATTTGAAATTATTCCTAAGGAATGCAGCATGATAAAACTTGAATGTGAAAGTGAGGGCCATCTGATATGCTAGGGAGTGGCCTACAGCTTGGGTAAAAAAAAATTCTCCCCCCTGTCAACTTACCTCCCCATACATATCCAGCCTGTTCACTTTCAGTCCCGAGATAGCCATCTGGTTGATAGTGAAATTCACCTGAAATCACATAATGAAAATTCAAGAAAGTTTCTTTAAATTCATGCACATTTTTACAATGTTCTTAAAATATATTTTTAAGTGCAGTGCTATACCAAAATAAGAACATTTTTAAGTTTACGAAAAGATAAATATTGTCAAAATGTAACATTTTAGATCCCATTAACAGCAGTTTCTGAGAACTGTTTATGATGAATACTCTTAATACAGAAAGCTTTAAGTTTACGCCAAATACCTTGAGTGATAATTTTCTAAAAGAAATTAAATTTTCAGGGTAAATGCATTTATAGACATGCACAAGGGATACTCACAGATATGGTAGGGTTAGACTCTGGAATAGGTGCACCACTTTGTAAACTGATCTGGAAAGGGTTGCAAGAAATTTAATTACCATGTACCTCATTTGTTCATACTCTATAAAGATGAAAAAAAGATAATCAAATGATAAAACATTTTGATATTTTCATCTGAATGGAGTGTCACTAAGCTATATTGTTATGTAACTACTCAAGCATAAGCGAATGCTTGGGTATAGAAACAGTGCAATGCAGGGGCGGATTTTGGCCGTCTTCTGGGTCTTCCGGAAGACGGTCAGATTTTCAAGCTTACACTGATGGGTATCTTATTTTTGCTTTCGAAAGATGGTAAAAAATGGAGGATGGATCAGCAAAGATAATTTGGAAGACTGTCAGAAAATATCTCTGAATCTGCCCCTGCAATGGACTTAATGATGGCATAAACTAGACTCGTATGGGTGTGACTTAAACTACTAAGAAGCTTGTATCTAACTTTAAACCATTCTCTTTTAAAAACCAGATCGAAGACAAGTTAAAACTGGGATAAGAGAGACAGCTCTGAAGTTCTCTTTAAGGTCTTCAGGAAGAAACCCCATTTCGCATTTGAAAGAATTTTAATTTACAGAAGTACTTACAGATCCTCTAATATTTGGCAGTTTCGTTGGGTCTATCCTCCCTATTTCCCACACCATTATTTTGTTCACTGGATCAAAGGTGTATTTGCCTACATTTGGGGTGAGGGTTACATTTAGCACTGACTTCGGGAAGGGAACCTCTAGGGAGACATTTTCCACCTGAAAAATTAAACATAGGAGTTCAATGCAGCATATTTAATCAACATTAACAATAAACAATTTATTCATTATGAGAAGGAAAGATACCTGGACGCCTGATGAATGTATATCATAGTTGTGTTAATGCACTGAATATTTCTCTAAATGACGATGGAAATTTAAACAAATTTACTTTTAACAAATGCAGCCAAGGGACAACCATCATGCATGTACAAAAAGACTTACTGTTTTGCCCATTGTCTGTTTTGGTCCTACTGACACATCAAATCTACCACCACTCCCCTCTCGAAATGAGATATTGTGTCTTAGGTAAACGGGAATAGCTACCAAACTGAAAAAAAAAGATAACAAAAACATGCAGTGGGAAAAAATGGAAGTAAAATATATGTATTTTTTTAGCCTGTTTATTACTTTTAAGAATTTCAAAGCATTCCAACTTTGAAAGATAAATCATGACCATCTTTTTTATTTATGTCATTTAATCCGATACAAAAGACAACACGATAAAAATAGAAATTTAAAAAATGTACATTGCAATTAATTTATTTGTAATGAGCCCGAGAGGACAAAAAGGAAATAGGGCAGAGAATGCATCACTCACTTTTGAGTACCAATGTGATATGACATAAGCCTAAAACTGCCATCTGGTGGCACAAATGAAATCACACGTTCTGCCTGAAATGGATTGAGAGTTTCACATGTTACAACTTTTTTCAACAAATTTATTTTCTTAATCTAAGAGCAAATTTTAAGGAATTTTGTTTTATCAATCTCTACAATTTCATTTTTCTGAATGTGAAAGTGATTCTTCGCGACAGTTTCCCATAATAAAGTTTATATGACCTTTCAATAATCAAGATACAATACACTGAATACAGAACAATGAAGAAGTGTAACCCACCTCCCATCTCTTAAACCTCACACATGGATGAAAACTAAGGTCATCCAACAATCTTGGGTTCATAAAGGTCAAGGTCAAATCTGGCATACCACTCAACTTTACAGTCGCATCAACCTGAAGAAGGTAAAATGGCACAGGGCATGAGAAATTTTGCAGTGCCTGCAAGAAGCCAATTGTGCACCTCCAGTTTGGGAGTTTACAAGAGTCTTGTTACCTAAACCGACAGAGGCTTGCTAATGAAAGAAGTTTATTCTGTAAACTCTGAAACTCAAGGACCAATTGTGTGGTATTCTCAGGCAAATAACAATAATTTGAACACTGTCGCTAGCAGCAGAAAAAAAAAACAAAAAACAAATAAAGAAAAACAATCTTCCATTCGTTTTCTTTCATTCATTCATTCATTTAATGATATATTGTTACCACATGTATTTCAATTATTTTATCAGTGCCACTTTCATTATAGTGGGGAAGATCAATTATTACATAATAAATCAAGTCACTCACACGCCCCTGTATCTCTGCAGCAACAGTTGACCCAGATTTGTCCACAATGGCGTCCACCTCTTCAATGATGTCAAAGTAGGCCTCATTGTTAGTATACTTGACTCCTGTCCGTCTCCACGGGATGTTGGACAGCTGCCCTGTGGGCAATGTGCCACTGACACTGGAAAAATACAAACTCATTTTAGATTTTTAAATTACCTGTAAGATTGGATAATGAAAAGAGATTTACAAAAACATGCCAATGATTTTTCCCCTTTTTCTTAATTTTGAGGTAATTTGAATATCAGTGGACTAATACTGACTATAAATTTTGTGGGAAAAAATTACTATCACAGTAATATCATGTTTTTCAAAGTTTATAAAGGGAAAACCACTCCTAAATGATTTCTTGAACTACTGAATATATGTTTAAGATGAAAAATGTATTACTTACTGTGTCTTATTATAGATGAAAACTTACTTAGATTTTCCTGTCATAGTATTTGCAATTGTTCGCAGAATGTTGGAAGGTTTGATGAGCTCTTTCAAGATGTTGGCCTCCATGGCCAGTGGGAAACCATTGTCCAACATCTCATCAAGCAGCTGAAAATGAATTTTTCAAGAGTCAGAAACAAGTCAATGAAATACAAATGCTAATATTTCTGTCACAATTAAGCAACCCACAAAATATCCCTTACAGATCATATATTCAGTTTACCCCTTGTTTTTTCAAACATTAGACTAATTCAACTAGCAATCTCTTTTGCCCGCCCATACAATACTTTTCCAATATCTAAATACAGTGATCATACATAATTGGCAGACATTTAGAGACACTCATTCAGGTATTCTTTCATCATCATAGGGTCTACAATATGGACCATTTTCATCATCATAGGGTCTACAATATGGACCATTTTCATCATCATAGGGTCTACAATATGGACCATTTGTTTGGTAGCTAAACTGAAATATCATTACTAATGTAAAAAACACCTTATTTATTCAATTTAAAAAATGGGTTTTACACTTCAGGTCAATAAAGTTTGTCATCATTATTCTTTTTTTTTTTTAACAACCAAGGTGACATCTTGTACCAGAGAACCTCTTACTTCATATACAACCACATACTGCTCCTTGATGGTGGCTTCTGAACTGTCTCCAAAATAGTCTTCAAATGTGTCCATTACCCTGTGCAGAAACTCTATCACAAACAGGGGTGGCACTACAAAAATAATAAAAAATAAATAAATAAGAAATACATACTAGAGAAGACAGCAATTTATTTCTAAAAATAATATGAATATCTATTAATGTGAAAAATTGTAAACAGATGACAGGATGACTTGATGAAGTAATGAACTGAGCAATAAAAAGCATTGCATGTACTAGCACCAGCAGAGTTTTTCACAACTTGCACGATACCACATGTCAAAAGTAGTATAAAAATGCATGAACAGATTCAGTATTTCATACCTTCTGTAGTGACCACAGCAACAAGATGTAACTGACTTCTGTAGATATTGATAAGATAGTGGTGAGGAGTGGAAATAACTGGGGGTACATCTTCAGGAGTGGCTGCCTGTTGTGAATAATTTAAAAAAAAATTATATCCTTATTTACATAAAAAAATCATCATATGTGAATGCTGGTTTAGACCATTATCCAAGAAGAATTTAAATAAAAAATATTAATATAAAATGTCTTGTACAACTCTGAGCGTAATTCTTAAGTTTACCAAAAACTTATAAAATACAGAGGCTCTTTTCAAATCAGAATTGGCCGTCAACATGTTTCCTTTTTTTTATATCTGTATAAATTTACATTTTGATCTCGATATCCATCCAATGCATGTGCATATAAACTTAAGGCAGAGTCACTGTGAAAAACAAAAATAAAACGCAAGATAATCATCTTTGACACAATGCACTGCATGAGGTGTTCAATTTACCATCTCATCATGATATCACATATGCCTGGCCTTGTACAAAAAAGAAATCTTGAATGACAAACAAAATAGCAACATTTATTTACTGTAGTACAATTATGGTGCATTCTCACCGGACAACCACTTTAAAAATGTGAAGACATCATGCAAGCAGTAAGGAAAATCATGGAGGCACAAAGTGTGGAGTTTTTTTTTTTTTTCAAAATAAATAATAACTAAAAATTAATAACTTAATGGTGTCTTTTTAGAAATACCATATGATTGAATAAAAAAAATTGATTAAAAATGAAACAAACTGATGCCTTCTCAGAACTGTTTAGAATCTGCCCTCAAATGACACATCTAAAGCAATGTAAGCATAAAGAGGTACTGAGATAAACACAATGAAATTGTCTCCATAACCCTGCAGCTTCAAAGGAGCAGTATCTTATATATATATATATATATATATATATATATATATATATATATATATATAATGAAAATTAGTTGTTCAGGCATCATTTTTAGTCAGATAAAAATGGAAATCCTTAAATAAATATATAACAATAATATCAATGTTTTCCGCCTACCTTGGATTGCACTTCAAAGAAATAGTCACATATTGATCTGTTTATGACACTCTTCCAATGCTTCTCCATAAAAACATCCCTAAAGCCAGGAAAATTACACAAAAATAATAATTTCATATCTGTGAGCTTATTTGTTCAACAGAAGCTAAAAATGATGTTCTTATTTATGCACTGTACTGTTTCGGTACAATGTACATATTGGTTACTGTGCTAGGTATAAACCCAACCTGCTATTAGGTTATTTGCTAAAGTTCAATTTTCAAAATTTCAAACACACTACCCTCATTCTCACTTTCAGGATAATTAGACACACTAGCCTTCATTTTTACTTTCGGAATAAGTAGACTTGCTAGCCTTCTTTCTCACTCTTAGAATAATTAGCTTTTGGCATTACTACCACAGCATAAGGGCAATATTCTCCAGTCTGTCTAATTAACATCCAAAAAAAAAAAAAACGTCCGCAAGCAAAAAATGGTCGGGAAATCTGTTAATATATACAGATTTGACATAAGAAAAGTATTATACACTGTGACTGTAGGACGGAAAACAGCATACAGTATCTTAACATGTAGGCTTACTAAACGATAAAAGAAACGAATTGTATATGTAAACTGATTTTATGCTTGTGGACGTTTCTTGACGTTAATCAGACAGACCCATTTTCCCCGTTTTCCCTTCTCCTTCGACAACTTTTACGAAAAACGTGTTCATAATTGGATAACTAAATCAAACAACATCGACGTGGGATACATAAAATTAAAAAAAAAAAAAAAGAAGTTGCCTGTACTGTAAGAAATTGTAACTTTATCAACATCAGGCTCAACACATTTATAATACATCACTGTCACTATTTAGTGAACAGCTTTGTCAAAATTTGCTAAAACATATAACATACTGTAAAATTTATTAGAAGGGCAATGGACAATCTTACCCAGCATTGTTGATGATGAACAAACTGTGGATCATTGTCCACGGTAATCCTTGTCAGGTGCTTTTTGATAACTTTTTTTGTCGGTAAAATCGACCGAGTAACTTCCGTGGCAAGCTTCACGTGACAGTACCGACTTCCAGCATGTCGCAAGATGCCGGAAGTTACACTTATAGGTATATTTCATAAATAGATTGAAAATGTTAGTCGAATATTGAGTTTTATGCACATAAAACAGTAGTGAAGTTGCTGTAAGTCGATGTAGCTAAAGAAATCATTAAATAAAATTTAGCAATTAGCGACACCTTGTTCCCGGACCATACTTAGCTCGCTTTAAGAGGAACGACAGAACAGACCCACAGATGTCGGGAAACGCGGAAAACGGTACCACAGGCCAAGTAGTTTTACTTCAGAAATACTCGCTTTCACGCCAACCTTCATGCGAATGGTTAAAATGATACTCTCACAAAATAAAAATGGACAGAAGGGGTGTAGGTGGCTGGAGGGACCTTTCAAACTCCCCCTCGATTGCAATTTACCGCACTGTCTTTCTTCTGTCTCTGTAGTGTGACCCAAGTTACATGACGTTGTCAAGAGTCGAACGGCATCTCAGGCCAGGAAGGCTTTTCCCTATTTACTAAATTCAGAACGTCATATAAGACATAATTTGCCCTTGACTTTTTTGACCCAGTGTGAAAATTTTGTATCCTTTACAATCTTGTTGATTTCCCCCCAAATTTCCAGTATTTCTTAACCCTGGCTTATCAACTTTATCCCACCATTGTGTCTGAAGTATCAGATTCTTTGTTTGTTCAATACATGTATATGAACACCATGTATGTATAACAGATATTTCATTGTAAAGTGAGGTCGTGAAGGTCTTACATTACGAAAATTCTAATATTAATTGCTCATTATGGAAGGTAAATAATTGTTACCTCCGCCAAGGAGGTTATGTTTTCACCCCGTTTGTCTGTCTGTCATCAACATAACTCAAAAAGTTATGAACCGATTCTGATGAAATTTTCAGGAACTGTCAGAAGTGGGCCAAGGAAGAGATGATTTGTTTTTGGTGGTGATCCAGATCAATAATCAACCAATAATCAATAATAATCAAAAATCGCTGCCTTGGCGGAGGTCTGCGCTCTCGGAGTGCCTTTCTGGTTGGTAGGCCTAATGTTTTTTTTTTCTAAAATGATACCCTCCACAATAAATAAATAAATAAATAAATAAATAAATAAATAAATAAACCCTCTAAGGCTCTTTAGTAAAGACTTTAGTCTTTTGGCGCAGGTTATCATAGATGGCTAACCTTTGTAATGATCTCTTTTTAGAGATTATTACAAAAACCAAACTCAAAAAAAATGATGGACTTATTAACTTTGAATGTCGGAATGGGTTCATTTATCAATGGTACGCAAGGATACGAAATCTTCGATCGTTTACCCCATGAAAATTCGTTTTATGGTCGCATTCCTGCAAAAACGAACAGTTGTTATCACTGTAACCTATTAACATTTTATTCTGTTTTATGACAACTAATTAGCTCAACCGGCGTTTTACAATATTTGGCCCAGTAAAAGTTCGCCTATAAATTGCACAATGGACCATTAGGTTTACGCCAAAATAATTATAATACAATTCTTATTGACATCAATTATGCTTGTGTGTATGAAAAGTGAAAAAAGAGGAAGAAGTTGCGTAATTTAACTGTGGGAGAAACCCTTAATAATTTATACTCTGCAGCAACAGACATTGCGCATGTATTTCAAGGCTTGCGAAAGTTTCTTCCGGAGTTGTAAAATGTGAATTCCATACAGCGTCCGTGCAAAGATAAGGTTATGCGACAGTAATATGGGACATATTGTGCATTAAGGATACCGTAAGCGTTTGCCAAAAAATACTCCTTATTTACTGACTTTCATACATTTTTTTTAGGGGGGGGGGGTGCATAAATCTTCAGTGTTCAATGCCTAAATTAATTAAAATTTACACACGTCATCTTACGGGTGACGTTATAGTTGCCTTTTTAGGATAAAAATGGAGAAATTGGTTTCTTGAAAAGTGTTAAATTGATGATAAAAGCTGTGATTGACCTTGGTATAGCAAAGTGAAATATAAACGCCGATATTTCACATATTTTACGGGGATTTTTTTATTGTTTTACATCAGCAAAAAGGCAGATGCATAATTGAATAATAAGATGCAGCAGGAACCCCATTTTCGATATCTGGATGATAATAAACCGTTACAGTGCCCTTAATAATTAAAATATTGTTTCGAAATAACATTAAAAATGAACTGAGTGCAAATATAGAGCAGCTAAATATAGGTCACCCGTATTATGTTTGGCAGGGCACTTAACGACCTACATATAAAGCTGGCTAGGAGAGTTATTTAAGTTAACTGTTCAATCAAGAGTCAGATCTTCCCATAGTCGAAAGCAGAAGTGCGTACGCCCCAAGAAGTTCTAAGTAGATCAGAATACAAGGAAAAGAAAAACAGTCCAATAACTGAGCATAACACAGGTATTGTATAGAAATGTATGTGCGTGTTAAAATCCAAACAACCTCTGTGTATGTTTTTATTGCTGAAACATCCAGGAGTTAGGTGCAGTTGCCACAGCACACTCTAACTGTTCATGGAACACGTTTTGAGCGTGGGGTTCAACTAACTCTGGCACGTAATTTTTCCTTAAGATACTGGTACATAAGAAGTTAATAAAAAGCGAGGGTAAGGGTGTATTCCCAGAGATTTAGTTCGATCCAGAGATTAAAATTTAGATCAACCTAACTCCCTGGGGGTTCACGCTAAATTGCAGTCAGGCGAGCGCGCACCATAGTTAATTACCCCCTTACAGCTTTTAGTAGGTGGGCCAGACGTTTAAGCCGGCTAAGCTGACAGTAATCTAGTGAGACTCCCCACAGGGATAGATCGATCTAAAATCTATGGGAATGGGGCCTTAGTGTGCCGTTAATTTGTAAAATTATTAGCACTAGTACTGATATTTTGTCGTGTCCTCAAGTAGCTGATTCGTTTTTCACCGGAATAACAGCAATTCAAGTAACTGCGTTTTATTGAGTTTGAAACACAAACTGAAACATATGTCGAAAGAAAATTATGCGTAACATTAATTTTTTTGCAATCAGGAGATCAAAAGATTTGTCAAATCATACACAAATGTACTATCAAATAATTTGTCCATGTTCAGATGCACGTTTCATTGTCTCTATATCTGTTTCAGGCAAAATGGGATTCTTCGACACTATCAGTAAACTGGGACGCTCGCTGGCTCGTGGTAGTGGGGACTTCTTTCTACGTCTTAATTACATTTACACCCCAATATTTCTGGCAGTTTTATCGCTGCTCAGTCTCCTCTTGATCCTCGTGTACGTACCAGTGCCACCTACTGTCACCTCCTCGTGTTGGACACCTGCCGAGTTTACAGAAGCACACGTCAACTACGCAAAAGCAGTGTGTGCGCCCGACGGACCTGGACAGAAATACGAATGGCTAGAACCTGGTGATATGAGACAGCCTAACAAAACTGAAATAACAATCCCTGAAACCCCTCGTCTTAACCATCGCATGCCGCTATGGTTTCTCTTTCAAGCTATACTTTTCATCGTCCCGATTTTTTTCTGGAAAGCAGCCATTGGTCGAACTGGTATCAGTGTAAATGACGTCACCCATGACTCGAATGAGAAAATGGTGGAGAAATTCGTGCGTCAATTCGACCAATATTTTGGCAATTTGAAGAGGAAACGAGCAAACTTTCCCTGCGCCCCTTTAGACAATTTGTGTCTTCACATCAACAAGTTCTTTGGGTTTTATCTCATCCTTGTTTTCATCGTGTTGAAAATCTGGTACATTTACAACATCACTTTACAGTTTAATGTGATGTCCATTGCGTTGGGGCGGGAAGTTGGACCGTCAACCATTCTGTTCAAGAACATGACGGTGAATACTGTCCCGGAACGGATCTTAGAAAATGCTAACAGTACCACCCGCACAACAACAGATACAACCAACAGTCCGATTTACTTGTGTGATTTCTACACCCGTAGATTAGGTAACGTTCACACCTTCAGAGTCCAATGCTATGCAAAGATACAGGCTGGATCCTCACCAAGTCCGTTGATGGACGATCTGTACAAAATTCTTGTCGTGTGGCTATCATTTCTGTTTGTCGCCAACATTTACAGCTTTCTGTCCTTCTTGTTGACAGTCTGTCGCGCACACGTTCCGATCAAGCACCAGCTTCTCTTGGCCAGACTCCAGCCGGAGGAACACCAGCGACAGCTAGCAGATGAGTTTGTGGACTCTTACTTGACACAAGATGGTGCTTTTCTCCTTGGAATGATTGACAAGAACACAAACAAAGGTGTCGCCACGGATATCCTGGAGGCTTTGTGGGAACGTTATCTTACCAAGAAACACGAAGGCGATGTATCCGAGAGTGCTAAAATATACCCAAATTTACAACAGGTTTAAACAAAAAGGAAACAAAAATAATTATATGTCTTGACATTTAAAACTAGTTTTGTCAAAAAAAAAAAAAAAAAAAAAAGAATAATAATAATAATAATAAATAAATAATGAATAAATAAAAAGAAACATGTATCCTAAGATGTATTCTAAATACGTACTGTTTGCTGTCTGTAGGCTATATTTACAAGTTTTGTAATTCAATTTTTATGTCAAATCTTAATGATTCTTTATTAGCATTTAAATTTGTTTCTATAAATATCCAATCACATACTCGTATATTAATTTTTTCACTGTTGCAAATGAAATGCAAGCAAGCAGTGCACTTCGAAGAATTTCAAGGGCCAGTACATATGGAAAATATATTTCCCCGTTTCTTTGAGCGCATTCTCAACGAATTAAGCCAGGCTTTACAAAGCCGGTGACCTAAAAATGGCGGACNTCTTTTATATATAAAACTTATTTTAATATAAATGCAATAAAAATAACCCTTTTAGAATTGATATTAGTTACATGTGTTTGCCAATTATCAAAACACTGGAAAAATATGGGAATTCCGGGTTGAAGACACCAAAATGCAATATGTCGCAATGCAGCTTACTTTTACCCACGCCATCCGTGAAAGTGTGATATTGCTCAATCATCTGAAACATGTTAAACCTTGTGAATGTGAAAGTCGAAGTTGCGAAATTTTCCTGGAAAGATTTTTTGTCTTTAGGGACCCACCCAAAGAAAGGCCTGTATTGCGTAAACTTTCGACTCTTTTTTTCACGGCAAGTCTTGAACAGCGCGTATTTACTCATAGGCTATTTTTGAAAATAAACAGTGTGGAAATAAAGCACACCGGTTAAATGTAGGTCAATGTTTAACGCATAGCATTGTTTGATACATTTTAAGGGCCTATACATTTTGGGAATAACTTTTCCCGCTTCTTTTATATATAATACATATTATAATTTAAAGGCATAACAACTGTTCATTTTGGCCAAAAAATGAATTTTCCTGGGGTAAACAACAATTTTCATACTAACCAATAGTTAATGAATCCATTTCTACATTCAAAGTTAGTGCCTGTTTTTTTTTCTAGAAAGTTTTTTTTTTTTTTATTGTAATAATCTCTTAAGAGATTATTACATAATATAGCCATCTATGGAGGTCACATGGTCCAAAGACAAGCTCAGATTTCAGAATAATTGCTTTAACTGCCATTTTTGTGGTAAAATAGAATATATTATATTTCTATGAGTTGTTTACAATGTTTTCATTGTGAAATATAGATCTCATACGAAGAGTTGTTCTCCCTTTAAGTGCAATGAAAATTAACACTTTCAGAGGTAATATTACTAATAGTTGCACGTGTGCTCGACAATCAGCAAAATGCTGGCAGAAGATGGGAATAACGGGTTAAAGACGCTAAAATGTTGAGTGTCGCGGTCTTCTATTACCCCACGCCATCCTAATTAAGAGTGGTATTGCACAAACACCTGAAACATTTTTAAACTTTTGAATGTCGGAGTTGCGAAATTTTCCTGGAAAGGCCTTGATTGCATAAACTTAACGGTATTCTTTTCGCACTGCATGTCTTGAACAACGCGTATTTCAACATATTCTTGAGAATAAACAGTGTGGAAATAAAGCACACCGGTTTAATGTAGGTCAGATGTATTACTCACTGCACTACATTTAAAGCGGGTCAGTCTACCTGAGAAGTTTTAGTTAGATCCAAGCTGCTGGAGCCATTACCTCTGCTGAGTCCCGAGTCGCATACATTTGTTGCATACATTTCGACCAGTTAACAGTTAGTTCTAAGAAGATCGTGATAACAAGGAACAGAATACACGGCCAAAATCCCAGGTCATTGCGTAAGTATGAAAGTAAATTATTTTAAAAACGAACAACCTCTGGTTCTAATCTAGGCGTGGGACCATACATGTAGTACGTATCATAGTTTATGTTGTGCCAGGGTCTTGGTCCTGCAGATACCGATGGCAGCAATCGCTGCGCTGTTTACGTCGACCTTTCGCACTGGTATATAGTAAAGGCAATGAATGTAAGTTTGTAGTAGATTTTGAGGCTCGAACATACATTTCTCAATTTTACTATTAGTTATCTATTCATTCTCTTAATTATTTCTTTTTTTTTTTTTTTTTTTTTTTGTTCATTTACCCATTTATACATTAATTCTAAACGATTGTGCCTGAAAACGCATAATTACCCTATTAAGTTAACCGTATGCATACTAGTACATCTATGTTTACAGACAACATGAAATGAGCCTATCCATTAAATACCCGTGTCCGAGAGCATGCGTTTGGTGCGTTATGTATTTTGTTTATGGGGTCAAATGAGTGTGCAGAATGTAGTACGAGACTTCAAGTCCGGGTAAATGTTTATGGACTTTAAAAGTACACGCTCGGCAACCGCAAGTCACTGCCGTTATATTTGAGGCAGGCAACTATAAAAATGCGAGTTGAATTATGTTTAGGCGTTTAAAAGTTTCATAAAACGTGTGGGATATCTGTCGCTTTCTTTATCTTCATTGGAGCATCTTCCTGTTGGCTGTCTGCTTGGTTTATGACTCTAAGAACAGTTTCATAAATCTCGGGAGAAATAAGCAAGATAGTGAGCGATTCTCAGGCGTCAAACATTGGACATATGATGCCAAACACTATGTTATTACCATTATAATGCTTGCTATCCTTGAGATACCGGGCATTTGTGCGGTTTACGCCACAATGCATACTTATTCTTTTCAGTAAGTCGTATGTGTTTTGTCTATAGGGTCAAATGATATGAACATGCAGAATGTAATACGGGACTTCATGTCCGGGTAAATGTTTATTGACTTTAAAAGTACATGTTTGTCAACCGCAAGCCACTGCGGTTATATATCAGACAGAACTATAAAAATGCAAGTTGAATTATGTTTAGGCGTTTAAAATTTAAAGTTTCATAAAACGTGTGAGATATCAGTCCTTTTCTTTATAATTTCAGTTTTTTCTTCATTTTCTTACGCTCTGTCTAGCTTGATATATGACTCTAAGAACAACTCCATAAATCTCAGGAGAAATAAGCAAGATAGTGAGCGAACCATGCCAAACCAAACTTTGGACATATGCTGTCAAACACGGTGAAATAACAGATAAAGATTGATAAAGATTGCGATATTTGAGATACGTGTTGGGCATTTTTGCGGTTAAAGTAAGGTATAAAAGCGGGAAAAAGCTACAGTTCCCTAGATATATCACAGTAAACATGTCAAAAACTTTGACACATCATATAAAGATAGGGGAATGTTTCCGGAATAAAGCTTATTTATTTGCCATAAGGATTTTACTTCTGGAAAGGAGATTTTAAAAGATTAAAACCAGGCCAGATAATAAATGTAAAAAACATTACCAGTCTGAACTTTTGGAAACTTTCCACTCGCTATCAAAAGTTCACTTTAGAAACCATTCATTGCAGTGCACAATTTTTGCAAGTGTTACTGTGACGACGATTTGGAGTATTTTAAAAACATTTATTCACCGTCCCTCACTTTTCACGTAAATATACGGAATATAGGCCATTTAAACTGTATCTCTCCCTCTCTTATTTTCTTTCAATTGTCTTTTGCGTGATCTTAGATTTCTTACATTCTGCTTTGTCAATCAAACATTCCATACTGTTTATTTATATAATCGGACTATTTCTCTAGTTTCGTCTATACTGAAATTTAACAGCCAAATGCAATACTTCTCTTACTACGTCTTATTTTAAATTTTCAGTTTGCAGCTGTTTATCCACGCCACAGAAAAATTACTTTTCGATTGTGAATATAAAAAAAATGAACAGGTTGACAATGCCACTAGCACTAAAGAACGTGGAATGTATTTTTTTCACTTGATAATTTACTCACTGATTTTCGATTTATGGCATTGTAACCATTTAAGTTTACAACACAAAGGTAAACCAAAATGATCGTTTGGTCAAGAATATTTGCCTTAAGGGTAAAAGTTCCATGTACTTTAACAAGATTACAAATTTTGCATGATGCGTGTAACGTTTACAATTTCTGTTACTGTTTCAGGTAAGATGGGATCTTTAGACGCCATTAGCAAACTGGGACGCTCGCTAGCTCGCGGAAGTGGGGATTTCTTTCTTCGCCTTAACTACATTTACACTCCAGTATTTTTGGCAGTTTTATCGGTGATCAGTCTCCTCTTGGTTCTTGTGTATGTACCAGTGCCACCTACTGTCACCTCTTCGTGTTGGACACCTGCTCATTTTACAGAAGCACACAACAAATATGTACAAGCAGTGTGTGCGCCCGATGGACCTGGAGGGAAATACACATTGATGGTAGCTGACGAAATGAAACAGCCTAACAAAACTGAAATAAAAATCCCTGAAACCCCTAGCCCTAACCATCGTATGCCACTGTGGTTTCTTTTTCAAGCTATACTTTTTATCGTCCCTATATTTTTTTGGAAAGCAGCCATTGGTCGAACTGGTATCAATGTTGATGACGTCACCCATGACTCGAATGAGAAAATGGTGGAGAAATTCGTGCGTCAATTCGACCAATATTTTGGCAATTTGAAGAGGAAACGAGCAAACTTTCCCTGCGCCCCTTTAGACAATTTGTGTCTTCACATCAACAAGTTCTTTGGGTTTTATCTCATCCTTGTTTTCATCGTGTTGAAAATCTGGTACATTTACAACATCACATTACAGTTCAATGTGATGTCCATTGCGTTGGGGCGGGAAGTTGGACCGTCAACCATTCTGTTCAAGAACATGACGGCTAATGCTGCCCCACAACGGATTTTAGAAAATGCTAACGACACAAACAGCACAACACTGAATGAAAGCGAAAGTCCGTTTTACTTGTGTGATTTCAGCATCCGTCAAGTAAGTAACGTTCAACGTTTTACAGTTCAGTGCTTCGCCACGATACGCCCAGGATCTTCACCGAGCCCACTGATGGACGATCTGTACAAAATTCTTGTCGTGTGGCTGTCATTTCTGTTTGTCGCTAACATCTACAGCTTTCTGTCCTTCTTGGTGACAGTCTGTCGCGCACACGTTCCCATCAAACACCAGCTTCTCTTGGCCAGACTCCAGCCGGAGGAACACCAGCGACAGCTAGCAGATGAATTTGTGGACTCTTACTTGACACAAGATGGTGCTTTTCTCCTTGGAATGATTGACAAGAACACAAACAAAGGTGTCGCCACGGATATCCTGGAGGCTTTGTGGGAGCGTTATCTTACCAAGAAACAAGAAGGCGATGCATCAGGTGATGCACCCGAGAGGGAGAAAATGTATCCAAATCTGCAGCAAGTTTAAACAAGCAGACCAAAATATTTACTTTTTGACATTAAATACCGAGACTAATTTCTTAAGAAGCGAATTAGTGATTGTAAATCCTTACGTTATTTATGGATTTTGTAAGAGTAGGCTTATAACTTACATAGATTAAGCAGAATTTATGCGTAGGAAAGGGAGGATGGGGATTTGAAAACAGGCTTCGTCCAATATCATTTCTTAGGTTGGGTTAACAATAAGATGGTAAAATTCCACTCAAAGAAAGCATACATGAATACACATTACGACACCGTGTACACATGTACTTATCACTGTTATCACAATAAATACAAGAAATATGACCCTCATTTTCCTCAAACTTGCTGAAGTGGTTAATAGCATTTATAATATGCAGATCAAATTTAAACAATAGTGAATTTCGTGAATTTCTTATTTTTCTTTCACTGGTATTTTCAAGGTGTGACTTCAAACCCATATGTAGACTAATTAAAACCATGTGCTAGTAAAATTTTTCGCATTTCCATATAAACAGTTGAACATGATCATTATCTTATTAAATATCATGTAATATTATATGTGCATTGTCATCTTTATCCTTATTTTTTATTTTTCTTTGTGTCTGTACATTTGACGGTTTTGCTGCTTTGCTAAAGTATAGTTTTAAGAAAAACGTTTTCCCTTGGATGTCAGTCTGTATATATGTTTGTATGTATTGATACAAAACCACATATTATATTAACAGCAATTAGACGTCAACGATAATGAAACGCACAAAATGATTTTTGTCACTTCCTATTCACAATATGAACAAAAATATGTATCACCATATATTGTAATTTATTATTGATAATAACAATAAAGGGTTAATCAATTTTATTTTGGGTTATTTAAGTACCAGCAGACGAACAAATATTTAAATCTAAGATTTTAAACAAAATTTTAGATAACGTGCGACTTCCATTTTACGCGCAATTTGTTTGTTTTTTTTTTTAATTTTTATTTTTGCCTAACGCTTGTTTGTATGTTTTGTTAAAACAGAGCGTTGCGCCGTTCTGACGAAAGCGCCATAAAAAAAAAAAAAAAAAAAAAAAAAAAAAAGCGCGGGATTAATCATACTTTTATCCTCAAAATAAAGATTTATTGCTACATGTACTCCTTAATGACAACTTCAACAAATGACGAATTGAGAATAGGGGAAGGAGAATGACAAATTAGTAAATTCATCTCTGTCACAATGTCCAATTTTTTTTCTGTCCAGTTGCAAGTTAATTAAATCACAAATAAACATTTTTCACATAATGAAATAACACGTATCTAGACATTTTATATGATTTTTGTAGAGATTTTAAGATAAAAATGAGATCAATTAAGAAACACATTTAACACAGTTAGGGGGAAAGAGGTCGCTAGCCGATGTAAGATGTTGATAAGTGAGGGGTTTTTAATTGTCCTGATCAGAAACAGGCCTACGAGAATAATTTTACCATGTATGACACTGGGATGGTTGAAACACATGTTTTTTTTTAAAATATTTATTTTTTATTTATTTGCCTCGTTTTGCTTGTATTACTGTGTTTTTGAAAGTACGAATGGGGTATCATGCTAAAATATTTGCGCCTGGTAAATACCAAGACGAAAAGTAGCAAATTCTGAGTTTAGTCGGCAAAGATTTATTCAAAGACATATTTTTGAAATCTATACCAATTAAGAAATAATATCCATTTGAGAAGTTATAAACGAGGGACTGGCATTATAACGAATATTTCAATGTTCCGCTCCTCAAGTAGGCTACGTTCACACGATCGGGAATTAGAAAAGCACTTAGACAGCACAGATCTCCACCAAGGCAGCTCATTTCTCATTATCAGTAGGTACGCGTTGAAAAATAAATTTTTAGACATAGGCCTAACAATTCAAAGTTAACTCGCTTCTTCAGATATTTATTAACTTATTGTTAACCAATTGATAAAAAAGCTCAATGATAACGCTATTTAAGAATCAATTTTAAAACTACTAAATTAAANTGCTGCCTTGTTTTTAATTGATAGTTTACTCATTGATTTTAATAAGCGTAAAAGTTCCATGTATTTAACAAGATTACAAATTTTGCATCATATATGTAACGTTAACAATGTCTGTTACTGTTTCAGGTAAGATGGGATCTTTAGACGCCATTAGCAAACTGGGACGCTCGCTAGCTCGCGGAGGTGGGGATTTCTTTCTTCGCCTTAACTACATTTACACTCCAATATTTTTGGCAGTTTTATCGGCGATTAGTTTCCTTTTAATTCTTGTGTACGTACCAGTGCCACTTACTGTCACTTCTTCGTGTTGGACGCCTGCCCATTTTACAGAAGCACACGTCAGTTACGTACAAGCAGTGTGTGCACCTGGTGGACCTGGACAGAAATACGAATGGCTAGAACCTGGCGATATGAGACAGCCTAACAAAACTGAAATAAAAATCCCTGAAACTCCTCGCCCTAACCATCGCATGCCGCTATGGTTTTTATTTCAAGCTATACTTTTTATCGTCCCTATATTTTTCTGGAAAGCAGCCATTGGTCGAACTGGTATTAATGTTGATGACGTCACCCATGACTCGAATGAGAAAATGGTGGAGAAATTTGTGCGTCAATTCGACCAATATTTTGGAAATTTGAGGAAGAAACGAGAAAACTTTCCCTGCGCCCCTTTAGACAATTTGTGTCTTCACATCAACAAGTTATTTGGGTTTTATCTCATCCTTGTTTTCATTGTGTTGAAAATCTGGTACATTTACAACATCACTTTACAGTTCAATGTGATGTCCTCTGCGTTGGGGCGGGAAGTTGGACCGTCAACCATTCTGTTCAAGAACATGACGGCTAATGCTGCCCCGCAACGGATCTTAGAAAATGCTAACGACACAAACAGCACAACACTGAATGAAAGCGAAAGTCCGTTTTACTTGTGTGATTTCAGCATCCGTCAAGTAAGTAACGTTCAACGTTATACAGTTCAGTGCTTCGCCACGATACGCCCAGGATCTTCACCGAGCCCACTGATGGACGATCTGTACAAAATTCTTGTCGTGTGGCTGTCATTTCTGTTTGTCGCTAACATCTACAGCTTTCTGTCCTTCTTGGTGACAGTCTGTCGCGCACACGTTCCCATCAAGCACCAGCTTCTCTTGGCCAGACTCCAGCCGGAGGAACACCAGCGGCAGCTAGCAGATGAATTTGTGGACTCTTACTTGACGCAAGATGGTGCTTTTCTCCTTGGAATGATTGACAAGAACACAAACAAAGGGGTCGCCACGGATATCCTGGAGGCTTTGTGGGAGCGTTATCTTACCAAGAAACAAGAAGGCGATGCATCGGGTAATGCATCCGAGACGGAGAAAATGTATCCAAATCTGCAGCAAGTTTAAACAAGCAGACCAAAATATTCACTTTTTGGCAATAAATACCGAGACTAATTTCTTAAGAAGCGAATTAGTGATTGTAAATCCTTACGTTATTTATGGATTTGGTAAGAGTAGGCTTATAACTTACATAGATTAAGCAGAATTTATGCGTAGGAAAGGGAGGATAGGGATTTGAAAACAGGCTTCGTCCAATATCATTTCTTATGTTGGGTTAACAATAAGGTGGTAAAATTCCACTCAAAAAAAGCATACAGGTATACACATTACGACACCGTGTACACATGTAGGCCTACTTATCACTGTTATCACAATAAATACAAGAAATATGACCCTCATTTTCCTCAAACTTGCTGAAGTGGTTAATAGCATTTATAACATGCAGATCAAATTTAAACAATAGTGTTTTTTCTTGAAATTATGCAGTTTTTCGTGAATTTCTTATTTTTCTTTCACTGGTATTTTCAGGTTGTGACTTCAAACCCATGTGGACTTAAAACCATGTCCTAGTAACATTTTTTGCATTTCCATATGAACAGTTGAACATAATCATTATCTTATTAAATATCATGTAATATCATATTTTTCATTTTTTATTTTTATTTTTATTTTTATTTTTATTTTTATTTATTTTTCTTTGTGTCTGTACATTTGACGGTTTTGCTGCTTTGCTAAAGTATAGTTTTAAGAAAACGTTTTCCCTTGGATGTCAGTCTGTATATATATTTATATGTATTGATACAAAACCACACATATTATATTAACGGCAATTAGACGTCAACGATAATGAAACGCACAAAATGATTTTTGTCACTTCCTATTCACAATATGAACAAAAATATGTATCACCATATATTGTAATTTATTATTGATAATAACAATAAAGGGTTAATCAATTTTATTTTGGGTTATTTAAGTACCAGGAGACTAACAAATATTTAAATCTAAGATTTTAAACATTTTTATTTTTGCCTAACGCTTGTTTGTATGTTTTGTTGAAACAGAGCGTTGCGCCGTTCTGACGAAAGCGCAAAAAAAAAAAAAAAAAAAAAAAAAAAGCGGGATCAATCATACTTTTATCCTCAAAATAAAGATTTATTGCTACATGTACTTCTTAATGACAACTTCAACAAATGACGAACTGAGAATAGGGGAAGGAGAAAGACAAATTAGTAAATTCATCTCTGTCACAATGTCCAATTTTTTTTCTGTCCAGTTGCCAGTTAATTAAATCACAAATAAACATTTTTCACATAATGAAATAACACGTATCTAGACATATTATATGATTTTTGTAGAGATTTTAAGATAAAAATGAGATCAATTAAGAAACACATTTAACACAGTTAGGGGGAAAGAGGTCGCTAGCCGATGTAAGATGTTGATAAGTGAGGGGTTTTTAATTGTCCTGATCAGAAACAGGCCTACGAGAATAATTTTACCATGTAGGACACTGGGATGGTTGAAACACATGTTTTTTTTTTTTTAATGTTTATTTTTTATTTATTTGCCTCGTTCTGCTTGTATTACTGTGTTTTTGAAAGGACGAATGGGGTATCATGCTAAAATATTTGCGCCTGGTAAATACCAAGACGAAAAGTAGCAAATTCTGAGTTTAGTCGGCAAAGATTTATTCAAAGACATATTTTTGAAATCTATACCAATTAAGAAATAATATCCATTTGAGAAGTTATAAACGAGGGACTGGCATTATAACGAATATTTCAATGTTCCGCTCCTCAAGTAGGCTACGTTCACACGATCGGGAATTAGAAAAGCACTTAGACAGCATTAGACAGTATTTTTGAAATCTATACCAATTAAGAAATAATATCCATTTGAGAAGTTATAAACGAGGGACTGGCATTATAACGAATATTTCAATGTTCCGCTCCTCAAGTAGGCTACGTTCACACGATCGGGAATTAGAAAAGCACTTAGACAGCACAGATCTCCACCAAGGCAGCTCATTTCTCATTATCAGTAGGTACGCGTTGAAAAATAAATTTTTAGACATAGGCCTAACAATTCAAAGTTAAGTCGCTTCTTCAGATATTTATTAACTTATTGTTAACCAATTAATAAAAAAGCTCAATGATAACGCTATTTAAGAATCAATTTTGAGATATTGAGAAAAAAATTGACCTATCCTGGAATTTCATAAAAATCCCTGCATGTACATGTAGGCCCTGCCTGGGTAACAGACAAACAGACAAAGAAATGGATCCCCCCCCTCAAAAAATCTTTTCTTTTTTTTTTTTTTTTTTACTTTTTCCAGTCACGATAGTTTCTGTAAATATCAGCAAAACGCTACAGTCTCAAGGTTGTCAACAGAAAGACGGATGGACAAAGTTTGAAACAGACAGACAATCGGAGCAAAAACATGACCTCCGTCGCGAATGTAAATATATCGACGTCGGGTATTTTGAAAAAAAACCCGGTGGCTGACACCTTTGCTAGTAATGTAACGTGGTCACATGCACACACCTTATCCTATCAGGAACAGTGTTACAGCACACGTCCTCAGCAGGGAACTGACGTAAATAAGTTTTTTTACATGTGTGTGAAACCGGAGCCTGACCTACTTTTTTATGTCTATCAAGGTAAGAGTGTTGAAAGGTGATGTCGTACCGGGTAGCCTTCTATTCAAATGACCTATGAATCATTTCATGGTAGTTAAACCACATGTCAACACTTGGTCAGCTGTCCTGCAATGGCTAGCACGAAAATTCAAGCGGCTAACACCCCATTCCATAGATTTTTAGATCGATCTATCCCTGTGGGGAGTCTCACTAGATAACTGTCAGCTTGGCCGGCTTAAGCGTCTGTCCCGCCTACTAAAAGCTGTAAGAGGGTAATTAACTATGGTACCCGCTCGGCTGACTGCAATTTAGCGTGAACCCCCAGGGAGTTAGGTCGTCTGTTGACGGTTCGGATATATGTACTGGCTGTGCTAACCATTAATTTTCGTGCTAGGTTTTGGCCAGATATGCAAGGTATATACTATATAGTTGTATTGTAGCGTGTCTGTAAAGCCAAAACATCAACTTAACTTACAGCTTCTCGGAAAATTACATGTTTGACTGAATGGATAATGGTCCGGTACTCGTGGTATGCCGTATACTTACTAGTATTTGCCTAATTGCACTTTTATACTGTAAGCTAGATTTAATGGAGTAGTTATTTTGACAAAATTTAATATCTATCTCTGCAAAAATTATGCCTGATTTTTATATGCACAGATCCATTGCCTTCATAAAGCCATCACCTGCATGTCATATCTTCTTCGCTGTGAACTTTTAATACACCAAGAACATAATTAAAGGAAAACCATGTAATTTATTAACATTTAACTAATAGAAAATGGTTTTAAGTGCTAAAACAGCTTGATTTCATATATTCCAGCCTAATCAGATCATTATTAAACTTAAAGTTAGGGTGCTTTCCCAGAGATTTAGATCGATCCAGGGATTAAGATTTAGGTCGACCTAACTCCCTGGGGGTTCACACTAAACTGCAGTCAGCCGAGCGCGCACCATAGTTAATTACCCCTTTACAGCTTTTAGTAGGTGAGATGGATGCTTAAGCTGGCTAAGCTGACAGTAATCTAATGAGACTCCCCACAGGGATAGATCGATCTAAAATCTATGGAAATGGGGTCTTAGGCAGATTTTTGCGAAATTTTCATTTTTCACGTATTGGCATTTCAATCTGAACTTTTATGGGCCTCACTCATGAAAAAACTTTATGAAACTTTATGACAGTTATAATTCCTGAATGTCCATGCAACTTGTAGTACATAATCAAAAATTATAGTGATGATTGTGCTATTAAGAATTATGTTATATTGCATCAAAATTGACAATCAACCTATTTTCAAATTTGCAAACTACACAATAGCTATCATAAAAGGATATATATACCATGCCTGTAACCTGTAATTTTCAAACTCTCAGAAATGATTCATATGGTCATAATGGTCAGTTTCTCTTTTGTGCACTATCAACATTATTTTCTGCTGAATGTATGTACGTTTTACAGCTTTGCTGCTTTATAACATACATGTATGTACTAGTATGAATAATTCCAGTTAGGATCTCAGTCGAAATTCACATATATAGGCAGATAGATATGTAATATCTCTCTATTTGTATTCTGATTTTCATACATATACTATTATTACTGATTAAAAGAGGAATATATCCACTGATCTCTAAAAATGAGGAACTTCAAATACTTGGTGAAGCTTAAAATGTTGCCAGTTTAGATCATTCATTGCTCAGGTTACAGCCTGTGAGTTTTTCCTTTGGTTTTACTTTCAAATGAAGATATTTCCTGAATGCCATATCTGTCCCGTGGTTTGATGGCCCAGGTGATGCGAGCAATTCGAGTGAGTGAGTTTGGTGGACCTGAGGTGTTGGTGCTGGCTAAAGATGTCCCCATTCCAAAACCTGGGAAATGTCAGGTGAGAATAATGGTCAGTTGGTCAGTTGGGCCACTGACTTAGAAAACTATAAAACTAGTATTAGTATGTATGGAGCGTATACATGTACAAACATAATGACACAGGCAATCAATGGACTGTATATATGTACACAGAAAAAGATTTACTTCAAAAATTTTTTATTACAAGCAATTTTGATTACTTTTTTTGCAATTTGAGGAAGTGCTCTTTATTCTATTCTGTTATAAAACAATTTGTAGGTGGTTTGCTTAAAATACCCCCCCCCCCCCCAAAAAAAAAAGAGTAAAAGCATGCTCCCACTTTCAATCTCTCTTTTTTATTTGTCAAAAGTTATCAAAATTGTCTACTTTTGTGTTAACTCGCCTAGCTTTTCCATGCTTTCCACTGACATATTTGCGGAAGACATTGGGCTGCTGATGTTGAATAAAAACAGCAAGATATGGCTCAGAAACTTTAGGTGTAAATTCTGTTATATTATAGCTAGATGTACTAGTGTTTACAATTTTTTTGTCCTTTGCTGTTCATCTAATTGCATCCTTTATGGCTTTCTTCAGGTTTTGATTAAGGTAGCAGCTGCGGGGATAAATCCAGTCGACACCTATATCCGAACAGGAAATCAACCTGTAAAGGCAGCATTGCCCTATACTCCTGGCTTGGACGTGTCAGGAATAGTGGAGGAATTAGGAGAAGAGGTCACTAAGTTTAAAGTGAGGGAATTGATTTGCAGATTGAAATTAAATGTTTCTGTAGAATGGAACTCGATCAATAAGTGATAAAAAAAGATTCTGAAAAAACAAATGCTTTCATATATTCATCTTTGGATAAATAATCTCTTTTGTGGAAGAGGCTCCTGGTATACATATTGGTTGCTTTTTAAAGCAAATTGAAAAAATTGATATTCCACCTCTTACAGAAAGGAGACCATGTATATACAGTTTGCACAACCTCTGGTGGGTATGCTGAGTATGCTGTGGCTGATGAAAAAACAACATTTACACTCCATGATAAGTTGGAATTCACTCAAGGAGCTTGTGTTGGAGTCCCTTACTTCACTGCCTATAGGGCTCTTGTTATTGGGTAAGTTTATTTCCTTCAGTTACCTGACAGATAAATGAACTCTGCAGTTATGTAATATGTATGTCACTATGGTCAATGAGCACATCATTGTATAATTCCATGATATTATCTTCTTTCCACCTGACTCATTTTACTTATGTGGACAATTAGTGCCTCAATATTTTACCTATATATGTGTGCTAATGCAAGAAATTTTAACGTAGCATACATGCATGTACAGAAAGGAACCCTTTCATGTTGACTACCTCCATTTTTGATTTTTTTATGTGTAATTTTTGGAATTTAATTATAAGAATTTTATTGCAAAGTTTTCTTACTTAAAAATATTTTAGGGGTGGTGCCAGTCCAGGAAAAACAGTTCTTGTGCATGGTGCAAGTGGTGGCGTAAGTATGGGTTGTCAATATCATCAAGAACATATTACCATGCTATGCATTATTGATTTTTATTATAATAACTACATTATAGCAATATCACATGATACATGTAGGTAATTAACACATGATAGACATCACATTAAATTATATCACAACACAGCAATATTTTCTTTAAGATATCACAATTTTGATACCTCATATTTTACAACCTTAGTTTACCAATAGTAATAGCTAGGTGAAATCTTTTTTTTTTAGAAAGTGGTAATTTATCCTAAACGCTAATTTTCAGCTTTTCTTACTGATTTACATATATTATACTTGTAATTTATATTCTTTATTCTGTCATGAAGGTTGTATAGTCATTAATCTAACAAACTTGCTTTTTGATTGTCAATGACTCTTAAATACTTCACATTTTATTTGAACATTGTACTATGGCCATCCATTTGAGATAATATGTATAATGAACAGTAGTTGAAAATCATCTTAATCAGATATTGACAGACAATGTTAGTCTATGGGTAGTATATTCAGAACTTTGTGTGTATATTTTCTTAGGTTGGTTTGGCAGCTTGTCAGATAGCTAAGAACCTGGGTCTGCAGGTTATAGGTACTGCCAGCACAGCAGAGGGCCTGCATCTTGTCAAGGAGAATGGGGCCCACCATGTTTTCAATCACAAGGAAGAGGGGCATCAGGGGAAAATAAAGGTGATTTTTAATGTGTTCTGTCACAGGGGATAGGAATTTCACTCCAGATTGCATCAACATTATGGAGAAGGGTAAAAGAGAAAGAGACTTACGTACCTGTATAAAATACAAAAATTACTGATACCTTCATTTTCATTTTGCATGATTTTTCTTATATGTGTTTTGATAGGTGATGTCTTTGTCAATATTTTCATCTGTATTTTCTAATAGGAGGCCACAGAGGGTAAGGGAGTTGATATTATATTGGAGATGATGGCCAATGTAAACCTGCCTGCTGATGTAATGCTTTGCAAGAAACATTGTCGTATTATGGTATAATTTTTTTTTCAATACTATAACATTCAAGATTCTTTAAACTAATAAAAAGTTCAAGGAGGCCATTATGTACAATTTTTCCTCATGCTGTATTTAAATTCATACTGTGTATTTTCTGTTAACTATGCTTGATGATTATTTTATTTTTTAAATTCCTAAAATCAAATTTGAATAAACATTTATCAAATTTTCATTCTTGAATGATTTTACTTGTATAGATTAGTGTCAAAAATGTGGTCATAATGGAATTTCAACAATTAACCTCAAAATTTTGTGTCTTAGGTTATAGGTAATCGTGGGGACTGTGAGTTCAACTTCAGCAAACTGATGACAAATGAAACTTCTGTTATTGGAGTCAAGCTTATGATGACTGAAGGGGTATGCTTATATTTACTTGCAAGTTACTTTGTTATACTCTATCACATTGATACCATTAATAAACAAATTTTGGAACAGGTAAATAATTTACACCCATTAAGTTTTTTTTTTTTTTTACATAATTCAGTTTATAAAAAATGTATTACCTTGATCAAATTTTTTGCTGAATTTTCCCCTTGTGTGAAGTTTAAATTTTCTTAATTTTGTTTGAAAGTGAGTAGCACTTCACTAAAAATATCTGGAAATTTTTAAGGCAAGCTCTTTTGACTAATTTTGTAAAACTGGCATATTATGTTGTGTAGCAATGATAATTATGGCACATCCAATGTTTATAACGGTTATGGTAGATATGTAAACAGTATGCAGCATTGTGCATAATCTGAAACAATCTGTTTAAGCATCATGTACTATAAAATCTGTAAGTATTAAAAAGCATTCAGTGCACCTCAACTTAATTGTTTGTTGTACATGTATAATCAACTGACTTCAGTAAAAATCATAAAAATATCTGATATGCCTAGATTGTCTTTTCTGTTAGTCTAGTACAATTGTCTTTTTTTGTTTTCCTCGTGAAGAAGGAGAATTTTCTTTTTATGGTTGAAATTTACACTCCAGCATGAATGGGAAATGATGGGAAGCTTCATGTATGCTGGTATGGAACAGGGCTGGTTGAAACCAGTTGTACACAGGAAATATGACCTGAAGGATGCACCACAGGCACATGCAGATATCATCAGCAATCCAGGATGCAAGGGAAACCTTGTTCTGCAGATATAGTACTGGTGTCATTCAAAATATGGTACGGATTTTTTTACTTCATGCCTAAAAGAATGAGGTCAGTGCTATATGTTTTGTTTGTAGTGTTTTAAGATTAAACTTTTTGTACATGTATATAGATTGATACCATAATTAGTGGCTGTCTTCCAGAAGATGATCAGATTTTCAAGTTTATTTTGACGGTATCTAATTTTTTCTCTCGGAAGACTTACAAAAAATGGCAAATGGATCAACAAAGATAAGGAAGCTTGTCAGAAAATATCTCTGGATCTACCCCAGATGGTCTTTTATAAAGAATACATAGATATATGCCACTTACTTTAAATATGTCCCAGGAGGAAGTGGTATTTACATACAGATAAATGGGAAAATTGGCTATTGAATTTTACTGTAATTTAATATATAAAGGCTGGGTGAATTTGAAAGCTTGGAGGCTATAGGATTGTAGTCTTAAACATTTTAGCTACCTGTAAGTTTGGTAACCCTTTTTTATATCCCAAAAGTTAACTTAAAATCATTCATAATGGCACACATTTCACGCATTAAAAGGAAAAACTGAAATGGTTGTTTGGTCAAGAATGTTTGCATTACCTGTAAAATTCCAGGCCTTGGTATGGTTCACATTGACATAATGCATGATCAGAAGCTGTGTGGAATGTATTTTAACCTTCATTTCATCTGTTTCAGGTAAAATGGGGTCTTTAGATGTAGCATACATTCAGTGCTACAAGATGCAGTGCTATCAGTGTCAAGATACAGGTGGCCATGTTCAGTTATGGAGCCCTGTTCAACAGTCTTGTGTTGCTGTCATTTCTGCTTGTCACCGGCATTTACAGCTTTCTGTCCTTCTTGATGACAGTCTGTCCCACATGTTTCCATCCTACATTAGACACTGACTTCTCTTGGACATACTTGACAGTTGTATGATCACCACGTATGGCTGGCAGATGGATTTATCGACTTCTGCTTGACACTAGATGGTGCCTTAATTTTACTCATTGTCAAGAATTTTAAATAAATCCTTCACAAAGCCAACAGGATGGTAATGCATGCAAGAGGGATAAATTATCTCCAAATCTGCAGCAAGTTTCAACAAGCAGGCCAAGGAATTGCTGATGTGTTTTTGCATTCAAATGCATGTCCAAATTGAAACTAACTGCTGAAAAAAAGACAGTTTAAGATCTTTGTTCTTTTCAATGCTGATGGGTGCAGACCCGTGGAGTGGGGAGGGGGATGTCATTCACCCCATTTCCATAGATTTTTAGATCGATCTATCCCTGTGGGGAGTCTCACTAGATTACTGTCAGCTTGGCCGGCTTAAGCGTCTGTCCCGCCTACTAAAAGCTGTAAGGGGGTAATTAACTATGGTGCCCGCTTGGCTGACTGCAATTTAGCGTGAACCCCCAGGGAGTTAGGTCGATCTAAAACTTAATCTTTAGATCGATCTAAATCTCTGGGAAAGCACTCATTGACAAAGCCCCCTTTTGGCCAGAAAAGGTCCAATCTGAATTGAAATTTGGGTCATGCAAGGGTTAAAAGGGTCAGTCTCTTACCTTGTATTGAAATTGGCAACTACGTACAGGCCTATATTATGGCACATTGATAAGATAGCTTTTAGAATACTGTTATGTGTTTGCCTTAATCCATAACCATACAGCTTATATTAATGGCTTTAAGATGATAAAACAAACTTTGCTTTGATATTTGTCATGATCTTTTATTCAATAGGATAACAAAAATGAGTTGGTTTAACCATGATAGAACAATTATTGGTCATGCATGTAGTCTATCACAATTCTTTCTTGGGACTTATATAGCCCAAATGAAGTTAAATGTAATACACGTACCGGAAGAAGGGAATAAATAGTTAAAACTGAAATTGATGACAGATTTTAGAAGCTTATATTTAAACAGTCATAGATATTACACACTGCATCTTTATGATCAGGATCAGTGCATTGCTAGGTTAAAGTGTATACAAAACCCAAAAAGCATGAGCAAAATTTGAATAAAATAAAATTGTGAAATCTTCTCTAACACAATTTCACATTGATTGCCAGATGCAGCTCTATACACATTACAGGGGCTCTGCTAAAATAATCAAAATGTTTTATGCATGAAAACACTAAACTAACTGGGGATGTCCGATTGTGGCTCCCAAAAAGTCAGGAATCTGCTGATAGTAGGTAAAATGTCATTATCTGCTATGGGTCCACTGCCATCAATTAACACTATTAATGCCTATGATAAATAGCAGCTATAATACGGGGCACTGGCTTAAAATTAAGTAAGAAGCACGTGGTGTGGTGAATAAAATAACGAAAAAGGAATGGGTGTTTTTGCTGTTAAAGTGTGAGTGTAACTGTTTAAATGCTTTGTACTTATATCAAGATAAATATTTAAGTTAAAAGAAATTGTGGGGAAACTGTTATATTGGCCAATTTTGGGCATTTTCTTGAAACTATCTTCTGGTACCTGAATTTTTATCAAATTTTATATAATTACTATATGCCAAAGTTGAATGTTGCTGTCTCTAAATCTAACAAAAATCTCTTATAATTAAAGTTTTTGTCTACTTTTTATTTGAAAGCTAGTAGGCCTATATATATGTGTATTTTCCCCCAAAAATCCAGCAAATCTAATTTTCCTCGGAAAAAGGAATAGGGGTCTTTCATGTTGTCATGGAGGTCAGAGAGCTGGGAATCAAACTACGAGTACTAGTACATGAACATGCACCATTCGTGAATACAGTCACCCCTGCTGGGGGCCGCCTGCTGGTTTAGTACAGACGTAGATTCTACTGCAGTTGTAAAAGATAACGTTGAGACACCGTTTAGCCACCGTTGAGATTGTTCAAAGGCTTTTGTATTCTGTTGTGCTGCTTTTTTTACGTATATAGCACAAGCAAGGTACGACTCTGGAAACGGGACGACTTCTATTCCTAACAAACTACTGTATAGTAGGTAAATTGCCTTGACACGAAATGACCTTTGGTAACTAACAGCTGACCAACTTACAAAACTAGGTCGACTTTGTAAACGTGTGCAAGATTGAGGTGAGTACCAGGCCAGTCGTAGCTTTTAGCTTTTAGCTTTCTAGCTACCGGTAATTAAAGCTGGTCAGAAGACACCTGACTAGTTTCAGCTAGAAAGCTAAAAGTATACCAAGACACAACATGACAACACTTAGTACTAGGCCCTAATTTAGGGAAATATCAAGTTTCATTCTGTCCACATGTACAGGTACTTGTCATGGTATACCGACCGATATTATAAATGTGCCGGTGCAGTGTAATATCTGCTATATCGTGGACCCCGCACTGCGCAGTCACTTGTGCGAATAGTCGAGGTTTCAGTCAACATTAATAATCTAGATACTCCAGATAGATTGACAATGATCTGGCTGTTATGTATTCTGCATTGGCATACTATTTGTAAGCTAGCTGTGCATGTAGATAACAGAATGCATCAAATATGAATCTCACATGTAGCTTGGACGTTGAAATGTTTAAGGTTACTTGAATGCTAGATGCACATGTAACCCCCACTTCATAAGTCTTTCTGTAACTGGAAACAACCTGCTGATAAAATACACTGTAGGTCCAAGTGCCGTTAAAGGTACAGTACTGTAGCTGTGTGTAGTATCACTAAGTTGAAACACCCTAAACATTCAGGGTGCTCAACCAATATCCTCTGATTAATATATATATATATTCTTGGTTTTTGTTTTCTTTCCGGGGAAGATATATACGCTGTAGATGCCATTCTTAACTCGTGGTTTGATGGCCCAGGTGATGCGAGCTATCCGAGTGAATGAGTTTGGTGGACCTGAGGTGTTGGTGCTGGCTAAAGATGTCCCCATTCCAAAACCTGGGAAATGTCAGGTGAGAATAATAGTCAGGTGGTTAGTAATTAATTAGGTCATTCACTTGGAGTATGAAAAATGAAAAAAAAAATTAAAGAAGTGAGTTAATTGCCATGTAGAAATCCGTGCATTGAAATGTACTCTTTTACAGTTGGCTGTTTGAGAAAATCCTTAATTTTCCTATGAGGCACTTAATTTGATTAAACGAAACCACCAAAAAAGACTTTGAATGCATGCATAAAAAGCATGCTCTTAAAAACTTCATAGAAATTTTAGTGTTAGACTTAGAGACTGTAGTATATACAACCATGGCATAGTAGAAGGTATCACAAGAAAATCTCAAGTTTAGAATATGTAAAACTTTTAAACTTATTTTTAAGAAAGAAAAATACCTCGATATAATTCAAGGTAAAGGAAAACATTTAACCCTAACCAAATTTAAAAATTAGCAGCCACAATTTGAATACTGAAACAGGTCACTATGTTGAGGGAAAACCAAATTTGTAGTTATAGAGGATGAAGAGCACTTTTTGATTATCTGTCCTCTATACACTGCAAATAGAAAGGAACTCTTTCAATTAAGTAGTAGAAAGTGGCCACACATGGTTTACACTTTAAACAACAAAGATAATTTCTCCTTCATAATCATATAATGATAATGACCAACCCAAACAAGACAGTGATAATATCTTTGGCCAAGTTCCTTAACTTTGCTTTTGAGAAAAGAAACTGTACTGCATCTTCCACTTAGTGATGTCTGTGGCTATAAATAATTACTGTAAATCTTAAGGTTTATTTCACGTAGTAGAAAACAGGCTCGTGCATAATTAATTTCTATATCTTATGTCATGTACAATACTAATAGTATGATGCTGGCATGCAATCAATGCTGTGAACAGTTGATTCTTCATAAAGATTGCACCTAGTTTATGATTCTGAAATACTGGATGTGTATGTGTAATAGCAATGCATGTCTATATATGTGATTTTGGTGCTATTTATCTGTACGTGTAAAAGTTTTTTTTGTATTATAACTATTACTATCTATCTCTGTACATTTTCACCAGCTCGGTCTGATGTAGAAAGTATGATTAAAGCACGCACACATGCACACACACACACACACACACACACATACACACACACACACACACACTTAACTGACAGACTGAAAATGTTAATGAAATATGTTACATTGAATTTATTCAAAACTTAATATATATTCATCTAAGTACATCTCTCCAGGTTTTGATCAAGGTAGCAGCTGCCGGGATAAACCCAGTGGACACATATATCCGCACAGGAACACACACAGTGAAGCCACCATTGCCCTATACCCCTGGCATGGACGTGTCAGGAATAGTGGAGGAATTAGGGGAAGAGGTCACTAAGTTTAAAGTAAGTGATTGCTGTGACTTCACTTCACTGTTTGGTTTAACTCCACAAGTTTTGGAGTTAAAGACAGTACAAGTTCATGTTTCCAGCTTTGCAATTTAATGAAGAAATGAGTTTGGGAATGTTCAGATACCAGTATAATATGATATCATGATGAATAACAACCCATCTGTTGCAACCAGGAAAAACGTGATTACATGAATTTTGAAGTGCACTTTGATTAATTATCTGTTTAAGTAGATAAAATTATAGATTAATTGACAAATTGTATAATATATACAATGATAAAAAGTTTATTTGTCAGTGTGCATGTGTGTGTGTGTGCATGGGGGGGGGGGGAGGAGTGTTTTTAGACTTTAATATTTTCGTAAATAAATGAATATTTCATATTCCAAGCTCCAACCTCTGCAACAAAATTTTCTAGAAAGGAGACCACGTGTACACAGTTCGCACAGCTTCTGGTGGGTATGCTGAGTATGCAGTGGCTGATGACAGGACAACCTTTAAACTCCATAAAAACTTGGAGTTTACACAGGGAGCTTGTGTTGGAGTCCCCTACTTCACTGCATATAGGGCCCTTGTTATTAGGTACAGTTCAGTTATTTTCTTTAGTTTGGTAACTTGTCATATGCTGATGGAAGTTACTACACCCTGGGTTTGGGCAATTACTGGAAATGGTAGAAGCATACTGATAACAGCAGTTCATAGAATCTTTCTGAAACTCACTGATGACTAGCCATAANTTGCCATGTAGAAATCCGTGCATTGAAATGTACTCTTTTACAGTTGGCTGTTTGAGAAAATCCTTAATTTTCCTATGAGGCACTTAATTTGATTAAACGAAACCACCAAAAAAGACTTTGAATGCATGCATAAAAAGCATGCTCTTAAAAACTTCATAGAAATTTTAGTGTTAGACTTAGAGACTGTAGTATATACAACCATGGCATAGTAGAAGGTACATGTATCACAAGAAAATCTCAAGTTTAGAATATGTAAAACTTTTAAACTTATTTTTAAGAAAGAAAAATACCTCGATATAATTCAAGGTAAAGGAAAACATTTAACCCTAACCAAATTTAAAAATTAGCAGCCACAATTTGAATACTGAAACAGGTCACTATGTTGAGGGAAAACCAAATTTGTAGTTATAGAGGATGAAGAGCACTTTTTGATTATCTGTCCTCTATACACTGCAAATAGAAAGGAACTCTTTCAATTAAGTAGTAGAAAGTGGCCACACATGGTTTACACTTTAAACAACAAAGATAATTTCTCCTTCATAATCACATAATGATAATGACCAACCCAAACAAGACAGTGATAATATCTTTGGCCAAGTTCCTTAACTGCTTTTGAGAAAAGAAACTGTACTGCATCTTCCACTTAGTGATGTCTGTGGCTATAAATAATTACTGTAAATCTTAAGGTTTATTTCACGTAGTAGAAAACAGGCTCGTGCATAATTAATTTCTATATCTTATGTCATGTACAATACTAATAGTATGATGCTGGCATGCAATCAATGCTGTGAACAGTTGATTCTTCATAAAGATTGCACCTAGTTTATGATTCTGAAATACTGGATGTGTATGTGTAATAGCAATGCATGTCTATATATGTGATTTTGGTGCTATTTATCTGTACGTGTAAAAGTTTTTTTTGTATTATAACTATTACTATCTATCTCTGTACATTTTCACCAGCTCGGTCTGATGTAGAAAGTATGATTAAAGCACGCACACATGCACACACACACACACACACACATACACACACACACACACACACTTAACTGACAGACTGAAAATGTTAATGAAATATGTTACATTGAATTTATTCATCTAAGTACATCTCTCCAGGTTTTGATCAAGGTAGCAGCTGCAGGGATAAACCCAGTGGACACATATATCCGCACAGGAACACACACAGTGAAGCCACCATTGCCCTATACCCCTGGCATGGACGTGTCAGGAATAGTGGAGGAATTAGGGGAAGAGGTCACTAAGTTTAAAGTAAGTGATTGCTGTGACTTCACTTCACTGTTTGGTTTAACTCCACAAGTTTTGGAGTTAAAGACAGTACAAGTTCATGTTTCCAGCTTTGCAATTTAATGAAGAAATGAGTTTGGGAATGTTCAGATACCAGTATAATATGATATCATGATGAATAACAACCCATCTGTTGCAACCAGGAAAAACGTGATTACATGAATTTTGAAGTGCACTTTGATTAATTATCTGTTTAAGTAGATAAAATTATAGATTAATTGACAAATTGTATAATATATACAATGATAAAAAGTTTATTTGTCAGTGTGCATGTGTGTGTGTGTGCATGGGGGGGGGGGGAGGAGTGTTTTTAGACTTTAATATTTTCGTAAATAAATGAATATTTCATAATATTCCAAGCTCCAACCTCTGCAACAAAATTTTCTAGAAAGGAGACCACGTGTACACAGTTCGCACAGCTTCTGGTGGGTATGCCGAGTATGCAGTGGCTGATGACAGGACAACCTTTAAACTCCATAAAAACTTGGAGTTTACACAGGGAGCTTGTGTTGGAGTCCCCTACTTCACTGCATATAGGGCCCTTGTTATTAGGTACAGTTCAGTTATTTTCTTTAGTTTGGTAACTTGTCATATGCTGATGGAAGTTACTACACCCTGGGTTTGGGCAATTACTGGAAATGGTAGAAGCATACTGATAACAGCAGTTCATAGAATCTTTCTGAAACTCACTGATGACTAGCCATAACTTTGGAACTACTGGTAACAGGCCCATAGCCAGCAATTTCAAAGGGGGTAGGGGTCTTTTTCTGGAACATGGGACCTTTTACCGAGAAACTTTCATGTAACTAGATCAATTTTTACCTAGGTAGGCCTTTGCCGGGAAGAAAGGGCAGTTAGTTTGCCCCCCGGCAATGGCCTGGTTAATATGTATTTTCCTTGTACTAGTAAGAGGAATTTCGCTCACTGTTTTTAGGGGCAGTGCTAAACCAGGAGAAACTGTGCTTGTCCATGGTGCAAGTGGCGGAGTAAGTTTTCATTGTAAACATCACATTACAGATACCATATTATAGAAATCATCTAGATAGTAAAGATACCTTTTTAAATATCATGTTAAGATACTCAAATGTGTGGATCAGTATTATCAGTAATTTTTTCTGGCAAACACATGTTTATTGACCCCAGGCATTGGCAGTTTGCATATAATTATTCAGCATTACAAGTTGGTGTCTTCATCCTCTCTGAGGCTTCTGGTCAGCAAAAATATTTTATTATATTTTAATTGCTTGAAGGTTGCTCAGTGCCACAGTATATTTTCCTAGTATGAAATATATTTAGAATATAAGTATTTACAGAAATTGCAGATCTAGAAATGAGATTAAACTTTATTTTTTTGTATATTATTTTCTTAGGTTGGTTTGGCAGCTTGTCAGATAGCTAAGAACCTGGGTCTGCAGGTTATAGGTACTGCCAGCACAGCAGAGGGCCTGCATCTTGTCAAGGAGAATGGGGCCCACCATGCTTTTAATCACAAGGAAGAGGGGTACCTGGACAAAATAAAGGTGATGTTTGATGTGTCCTGTCACAGGAAATTGGAATTAAGATGACAAAAGTATTCTTAGGCTTAATGAAGAAGGATGAGAAAAAACTAAGAGGCATATGGGTTGATCCTCACTTTTTCTATGGGCATGTTTTCACTATGTTTAAGTTCTTATTTGTCTGTATTTATGTTTCAATCTGTATTTTCCTATAGGAGGCCACAGATGGTAAGGGAGTTGATATTATATTGGAGATGTTGGCCAATGTAAACCTGCCTGCTGACACGATGCTTTGCAAGAAACATGGCCGCATTCTGGTAGACAAATTGTTATACTTTTATAGAACATTTTATAAGCTAAATCCATGTATAATGTGTAAGTTGTACATTTTCTTGGGGACCATTATGTATTCTATCACTTTTTTCATCACATTGTTTTTGTAATAATATTTTTTACTAACATCACATCTTGATGATCTTTTTATTTTTATGCGACCAGAGATTCAAATTAAAAGACAGATAATGAATGTTCATTATTGTGTAGATAAAAGACAAGAGTGCACATTTATTGTATTCATAAATTGAATTCAAACATTTACCCCCAAGTTCTGTATTTTAGATTATAGGTAATCGTGGGAGTTGTGAGATCAACCCTCGTCAACTGATGACAGTTGAAACATCAGTTATTGGAGTCATGCTCATGGTGACTGAACCGGTATGCTTATTTATTAAAAATTTTTTTACTCTTTAATGTTGAAACCGTAATTTTAGAGCTTGATTTTTCATGCCAGCTTTCCCCATTAAGCATTCTTTTGCAATATAATTCAGTTACAAATAACTTTGTTTATTAATTAGGTAAATTGTCCAATGCCTGCTTTATTCATTGTGTGATGATTAAAAATTTGTATATATTCACTCACTGATTGTCCTTTGTTTTAAATGTTTGAAAATATTAAAAATCAACCTAATAGGTGTTCATTAGTTCCAAGCATCAAATCAAAAATTTTTTAGTTTCAGACACTTTATCTATTTATTGTACAAAACAGCCATGTGGTTGTGGTTCAAACAATTAAATTACTTGATAACACATTTAATAAATGCATTGATTTCTTCTGTCTGTGCCTTAACTTGTGACAGGTAAACAGCACTCATTGGATTGTGTATTGCTTGTCGTACTATTACTTGGGTATGACTGAGTCAGACTGATTTTTATCAAAAATTTACATTGCAGCATGAATGGGAAATGATGGGAAGCTTCATGTATGCTGGTATGGAACAGGGCTGGTTGAAACCAGTGGTACACAGGAAATATGACCTGAAGGAGGCGCCACAAGCACACATAGATGTCATCAGCAATCAGGGGTCCAAGGGAAACCTGGTTCTGCAGATATAGCACATGTACCGTACAAAATTAGCTGCCGATCAATTATCTCTTGCCTAGGAAGAATGATGTTAGTGCTTAATGCAATGTTTGCAGATAATTAATTTTAATAAAAATTATGGGACCACAGGTTTATAGAATTTCTAGCACAGTCAACTACTACAGCTTGCAGGCAAAATTGTCCCAGCTGGAAAGAATTTCTATGAACTTTTCTATGAATCTAGGAACTTGAGCTATGTAATTTTGCTTTTAAATAACAATATTATAATTAGGGATGGACACCTTCAAGGGCTTGGCCAGAGATAAAGTAGAAGTTTCTTTATATACTAGATAAAAGTTACAGGAGATTGAATTTGTATATGAATGCTCATCTGTTGTTCTTCCTTTTGCATTAAATTGTCAAAGTAAACATTTAAAATCAGTGTTAATACTAAATGCAGCCTTCCGGTGTAGGCTTTTTCTCCCATCTGATTTCTGTCCATTGGATAATAAGACAAGCACAAAAAATACTGTTTCCAAAACAGTGTATAACTGTGATTAGTCATTGTTAAAGTGACGGGGATTTTGCTATTTCTGCTGTTGGTGGTTCAAATGGAAGACAATGTAAATTTGTTCCTCACGGAAGTATGATGTACAGATAGATTTTAACCTTATAAGACTTCCTTGCAAAATGAAAGAGTTTGCAAAAAGAATTTTATTGCTGCTAATTTGCAGCCATATTGCGGAAAATTTGCAAGGAACTGCAGATTGCAGCAGTATTGCAGGCCTGATATTTTGTTATGGGGCCCTATTTCCAGACGATGGTGAGAGCCGTTATCTAAGAAAACATTTTCTTACAGTTGTCAATCAATGTGATTGATCAGCATCAATAAAACTGCAACATACTTCATGCTGCTTTGATTTTAAAATCTGTGAAGATGTCAACAGCAGTATTGTATGTCAGATATGAATATTTAAATCTGTATGGCAATATTTTGTGTCTCTAACTTCTAACAAAACAACAGTGCCAATAAAGGAATAATTTTTTACTAAGGCAATGTTGTGTCTCTTAGCTGTGCCAATGAAAGGTGAAGTGATATCAAAACCATATAAATGAAAAATAACAGGATTTTATTGCTTATTGTAAGACAGACTAAAAGAAGTGGTTAAACAGTTTAAAATATACAACAAGTTTATTGCTAAATGTTGAAAAGGAACTTTTCAATACATGCACTGCAATTACATTGTTACTCTCTCAACCACAAACATTTGTCTATTCTGTAAAGGACTGCCATTAAATTGACATTTTCATTACAAAGATAAATTTTAAAAATAAATTCAGAATGTAATTGCTGTATCAAAGAAGATTAAAGATGGCTAATATAGTAAACAATGAACTCTAATCTATTCCTCAAGACAGCACTAGATCATAACACTGTCACGCATGTACACATGTATACGTAAAAGTCTGTAATATAAACAATAAAAATGATGGACAAACATTAGCTGCCACCATGTTAGCTTCGAAAGTAAAAACATTTGGTCAATGCTGTATAAATTTTACATTCTGGATTGTTTGCATTTAAAATGCATTTTCAGGCTCAAAAATCTAATCTGCATAAAAAGGCACTATATTCATGTAAGTGAAACAAATATCGCAAAATTAAAATAAAAGGCACAAGTAAAAGGCAAGATGAAAGCTTTGTTTCACTGACACAATGTCGTGGGTAAAATGTGCCTGTAACTGTGTACACATCCCAGTTACAATCAAAGGCAGGACAAATTCCTGCAGAGAGTTAATGGTGATGATTCCTATGGCAACATCTTCTTGATCTTATATTACCACTGGCAAAGCAAACTTTGTGAACTAACTGGAGATTTCATTTTATTCAGTAAAATGTTCCTAAGTTAATTTTGCAGAGGAAGACATCTCGACATTCATATGTGCCAGTATTTTAAATAACAGGATTTGATAATTAACAAAAAATACAGAAATACTGTTTACAAAATAATTTGAGCAAAATTAACATGTTGTTACTGTGTAACTAATAAATAATAATAATAATAAACAAACAATGGCTACACTGCCAAATTGTCTCACACTGAAGGCTTGAAAGTATAATAAGTACTGCTAGTCCTTTCTATCTCTTCCATGGTCTCTTCCTTTAGTCTTGATATAGACTCCATAAACTGTTGTATTCTATCTTCACTGCTTGTGTGTATGCCTTGCCCTAAATGAGAATGAGAGAATCTTCAGTTTTAACACAGAAACAGGACCTGAAATTTTGGTATAATTTTGACATATCCTGACTGAATCATATTCACAGATCAGCAAATAAAACAAATTAATTGAATTAGCAAAATTACTCAGTACTCCAAAAAGTGAAATAATTGGTAAATTTTTAAAAAATCCACAGAAAGTTCCCAGAAATCTGCTTCCATTTTATACGGTTTTGTGAAAACAGTCAAAATGGAGTTAGGCCAAGTTAACTAAATATAGATACTATATGTTTTCTGAACAAACAAACATGTCACATAAAGCTTAAGGAAATCCATTTTGGGGGTTTTCAATCTTATTTACGAAAAAAGACTCTACATTAAAAAATCTTTTGACAGGTACTCTGTCTTTGTTTTTTTTTAAAGCTATAAAAAGCTTAAGAGACTACATTCAACAATAGCACGCAATTTAGTTTAATTTTGGGACAAGATATACAACTCGTGCTCACTTGAAGGGGATCCTCTGACAGGCACTCTGTCCATGGAGTCCTCCCGTCTGTGTCTGGGCCTGGACCTACTAGCAGAATAGCTTCGTACAGGGGACCTAGATGTCTGACCATCCTAAAGAGAACGAAACACAAATATTAACATTATAAAAAAAATTCTATTTAGGCCAGAGACATATTTTCTGGAGGAGTAACTGGTTAACAAACCTGTACAATCTCTCATTTGCTTTTTAAGTAGAGAATGCTCAACTGATAGAAGGTATTTTCAGTTGACTCTATCATAGTCAGAATAAAAAGTGAATAACAAATCTTTGAAAAGTTTTGTTAAATGTTTTTTTTAAAGATGCATACAAAGTCAATTTTTTGTCACAAAAACCAACCAAATGCCAGCATATAGTTTCAAGTACTACTAGTAGTATAACTAAGAGAATTACCAAAAGGCATTGTTTAATTTTACCTGAAAATTATGTTTGAACGGATTTTTCTGCTGGCATTCCAAGCCGTATGTCAATGGGACAGGAAAGTAGGTCACGAAAGTAGGTTAAATTTACAACCAAAAATTTTAAGAAATGAGCAGTCTAAAGGTCTTTTATGGCTGATCGAGTGATCTATTCAGTTTATCCCTTGGCATGTCGAATTTATTTGAGTCATATAAGAATCTAGTAGAAGTGGTTTACATGTGTTACTGGGAATCCACGCTCCACCGATGCTCGGTTCGTATGTACCTTTAATGTTGAACATGCTGTATATAAAAAAAGTATTGCCACATAATATGAAGAATGTTTACTACCTGAGATTCTAATTTGTCCAAGAATTGTACCTTGGCTGGTGATCTTGACCTTGATCTTGAGGGCACTTGTGACTGTGATCTTCTAGGTGACAAAGAATCGGACATTTCTCCTCTCGAGTTAGATAATACCTACAACCAATATTTTTTCTTTTATATAGTCGGAAACTTCATTTTTATAACACAATTTTCAATTAAGTAATGAAAAACATCTCATTTACACACATACAGTCTATTATATACCAGTAGTGAGAAAAAAAGAGTAATTATTCCTTGTTGTAATATTGAAAAGTGCACCTGATATTAAACTTACATCCTGCAAGTTAAAAAGCTTTCTTTTCAAGCTGTCCAAAGTTCCCTCAGACTGCTGCCGCACAGTGTTGATAGCATCTAAATGTTTGGACATCTGTTGTCTCAGCTGGAGCTGAAAATTAAAAAAAAAAAAAAAAGGCAAAATGTTATCAATGATTGAAAAGCTATGTTCTTAGATACAAATATGATACCTATTCAGAATGACAACAAGATCAATCTCTCAGCCCATCCTTCCACTTTTTTAAACAAACCTGTCTCATTTTAATGTGAATCTCCATAATTAAGATATCCATGACCCCATACTGATCTTCAAATGCCTTGTCTCCTTATCCTAATGTGGACCTGTTTATCATATACTAAGAACTCTTCTCATATCCACCTACATACTAATGCAGGTCTTCATTATTCATATATCCACCCAAAACCCCTTTTCAAACCCATCACCATTTTCCTAACAATAATGTCTCCTCTCCATAATCTTGCTTACCCTGAGTTGTTCTTGCTCCTGTTTGATTTTCTCTCTGACTGCTTCCTTCCTCCATTCTGACTCCTCACTCTTCCTGCCTGGCTCCTCATTTCCTCTGAGAGCAGATGTCCTCCTTGACAGATCTGTTGATGTACCTACGTCTACATCAGACCTGATCTGTAAGTGAATGAAGATGAGGCATAGCAAGGAAGGATAAAATGTAGAAAAAAATAGAACTTCATGAATACAAATAGAACATAAATGTCACAGACTCAGTGTGATGCTATTTATTACCATGAGGGTTGAACTCAAAAGACAGAGATAAGCTTAGTATTGATAATTCAGATATTCTTTTACCCACAGTACACTTATTTGGTCGAACTTTTATGATGCACACTAGAATTGGGGCAAGTACCTGTAAGTTCAGCACCTGTGCTATGTATTTTATTGGCATATTTGGGATGATGAAAGCAAAGTTACTTGGTGCACACATTATTTTAAGTGTACTGTATGTAAAAGTGTACTGTGTGTAAAAATTATCAAAATACTCAACATACTTTCATTTAGCCCCCTTGATTAAATATGTACCAGTTCCCTAAGACAGCTGTCACAGTGTTGATTGGATGCAATTAAAATTAAAAAAAAAAGCTTCACACAAATTTCGTCACTTCCCCAACACTGACAAGTTCTGTGAAAAAGGGCAGTTAAATTTCTTTTCACACAAAATATCAAAAACACATGTAAACATACAAAAGTATTCAAAGAAAAAGAAAATGAATTAACAGGAAAGTCTTACATTTGACAAATTTTCCTTCAGAGTATCTAAATGCATCTCCAGTTGTTCTTTTTGATCATGAAGTTGCTCAAGTTCTTCCTCAGCTTCCATTCGAGACTTGTTCAGGTCTTCTATACCAGCCTCAAACTCCTGCAGATGATAATGAAAAAAAATACTGGATCTTGGGTTGAAACGAAGATCACGGTCTTTCCACCTTATCACAAGGCCTTCAGGTGAACTGATTTAAGTTGTCCCGAGGTCATGTGATGCACAATCAATAAATTTTATATTTTAAAGATACAATTTTTTCAATGCTGGCACATCTGAATAATTCGAAAATAAAATAAGTAAATAAAAAGAAAAATGTTTAAAACTTTACCTGTCTTATGTCATTTTTAAGAGAAAAAATGGTCTCTTCTAATTTCTGCTCCTTGTCAAGTATCTCTGCCTGTGACATCAGCTATACGAACAACAACAGAAAAACAAATGAGAAAATAGTTTCAATGGATCTGCAAACAGTTAATATTATATATAAAATATTCATGAAAATTAGATGCATATTTTTTTTTAGAATCCTGTTGAGCAAAGTGGGGCAGCATGGTTGACATCAAAAGTTCTCATTTTAAAGAGTACAGATTACTGACAACTACAGTTGTGAACAAGTCTGAGATTTTGATGAAAGTAAACTAAAAATAGTATCTTGATAACTCACACACTCTAAATGCTTGTCTTATTCAAATGTCCAAGTTTTTTTCTAGATTTCTCACTTATAAATTCATCAAGTAATTAAAAAGAGAAAAAAAAGATACCGACTCTATTTGTACAACTTATGGAACATCTTTTTAAACTCACAAACCCCAAAATTACTTATAAAAATTAAACCACTCAGTTCTTTTTTTAGTAAAAAAAGCAAGTTGTGTATTCCTAAATGGCTCACCTTCCTCTTAGCCTCAATGTACTCCTGTCTCAGTTCATTGAGGTCCTGGCTGAGACGGTTGGCACGGCGACAGTGGTCCTGGGCAACAGATTCCAAGTCTGCAATCTCTCTGGCAGAGTTCTGCTGCAGTTGCTCATATTCCTTAAAATAAAATAACAGTTATAATAACTAAATGTAGGTATAAATTTAAAAAAAGGAAAATAAATAAATTTATAAATTAAAAAAATGGTCCTTGAGATTTTTAAAGATTATCAACTTTTCAACCTTGTTATATTAAAAGAAAAACACACAGCATTCTTTTCTTTTAACCAAATGTTATAATGAGAGTTTAACAGTCAAAATGTTTACAGTAAAAACGTTGGTCAAATAAAGGGTACAGTAAAAAAACAAACCATACATGTGCAAACTAGCTACCCATTTTGTAAGAAAAAAAATTACAAGTTAGAATTAATAATAATTTTTTCTAACACACCAACTTAGTTGCAAATATAGTGCTGCAGTGCTAGAGCAATCATCAAACATGAAACACCTGGTCCATTTTAAACCTATTAAGTACCTGAATGAAAATAACATATTCCTCAACCATCAGAGGAGTGCTGGCTATACTGAATAATAGTGACTGGTGATGTGGAATGTATGTATATTTAAATTAAAACAACCCAGTCTGACAACTGTTAACATGCAACATAAAAAATAAATGAATAATATTAAAATAAAATAATAAACATAAAATAATAACAATAGTGAAGTACCTACTATAAGAATGTGTTATGTGAATTCAATATAAACTACCGATCAACACTTACCTGTGAGGTCACATGTAGATGGCGTTTGACCTCTTCCAACTCAGAGAGCAGCTTGTCTTGGTCCTGAGAGATTGGTTAATATTAGAGAACAAAGAGCCACACCAATGAAATCAGAAGAAAAATGCCATTTTATGATAATGCTAAAGCAAAACATGTAAATATCACATCACAAATTAACATTAATATGACAAATAAGCAGGTTTGTTAAAGGCCCAATCAAAGAAGCAAATATTCATAAAAATGTGAGTTTAAAGATATTATGAAAAAGTATTATAAATCTAAAAACTGCAAAAATAAATGAAAAACATCAAGTTGCATTAAAGATTTAAGATAAAAAACAGCATCTACTTGAGATCTACTGGTAGAAGGATCTAGGAAGATCCTCAAATATTTACAAGACTTCTATTCTTCTCCATCCAGGATTATCAAGAACACAATCTGTCTCTACCCAGTTTTGCCAGAACTATCCCCATATTTCACTTTTTTTCATGAACCTACCCGTTCCAAAGATAACCTCTGATTACTGGCCTCTGAAACTGCAGTTTCTGAAACAGGAAATAATTCATCAAACATTGTTTTTGATACAACAGTTTAATTTGTGGATACAGCCTTTCATGCATGTTTTTGTCAGTTTCCTCAACACTGTATCATTTAACTAATAAAAATGCTTTTATCAGAGGTAAGGACTCTCATACATATTTATAGAACTTCAGTTGCTCTATCTATCCACATTATTTGTTTTCAACAGCATAATGCTCCTTCTATCAAAATTTAGATGAATTGACACCAATGCATTATGCACTATCTTTTATCCAAAAGATAAAAACAATAATCAGTAAAGTGTCAAGATGATCCCTTGGTTACCAATACCATTTAGGGACCAGATTCATACAAGAATTTCAGCTGGATATTTAATTTAGTCTACTTCATTAAAGATAAATACATAATAAATAAATACTGGTCTGAAATATTAGCAATGCGTTTAGACTACATATTACTGTTCTATGTTGGTAAATAGTAGACTTAAATTTTGGTCAAAAAGTTAACACCAATTTACAGTTCTTTTGAAAACAGGCCCTGGAGTTGTTAATCTAATACAGTAATCTTTAACTATCCACTATGAGGCAAAAGGAACCTCATCAGAACATGTGTCTAGTACATTTATGTAACTTACCCAACTGACTGACTTTTTGTTCCAATTCCACAAATTTTTCTTCCGTATGTTGAAGCTCTTCCATTTGTTTCTGTTAAAATATCATTTTTAAAAACTTACAAGTTTGAAAAAAATTGTAATTCAAAATGTATTAAGGTTTCAGAAAATGCATGTTCTGTCAACAAAGAGACCATTCCCATAGATATTTAGAACGATCTATCCCCCTGGGGAGTTTCACTAGATTGCTCTCAGCTTAACCAGCTTAAATGTCTGTCCCGCCTACTAAAAAGCTGTGAGGGGTAATTAACTTTTGTGCGCAATTTAGCGTGAACCCCCAGGGAGTTAGGTTGATCCAGATGGATCGATCTAAATCTGTGGGAGCCCAGTCAAAATAAATTAAATGAAATGAGATAAATTATATGTCTGTAAATATAGGGATTTTTCAACAGGCTTACAATTCAAACTTAATATACATACCTTAAACTGTTTAAGTTGTTTATCGTTTTGATCCAGCTCATCTTGTTTCATAGCAGCCTCTGTCTTAATATTTTCCAACTCAAGACGACCATTACTGAGAAGCTAAAGAAGAATAAAATTATAGATCATTGTTTATTTGTTAACATTCCATATCAACCCAACAATGCAGCAGCAATTATTCAATATTCATCATGTAGCTATTAAAGGTAACAAAACTGACCAAATAACTATCCAAAGAGAGATGCTAGTGAAACAAGGCAGCAAAGCTTGCAAATATTCAGACATTACAAACAAAAAAACAAGGCAGCAAAGCTGTCAAATGTACAGACAAAAAACAGAAAATAAAGATGCAAAAAAAGGTCATTTTGTCAATTTTGATGCAATAATAAATAATGCTCATAATAGCACTGTCAGTCAACACTGAATTTTAATCATGCACAACAGATAACATGGTCAATAACAGGAGCGGACCCTGAGATATTTTCTGACAGTATTCCAAAGTATCTATGTTGATCCATCCTCCATTTTGATGATCTTCCAACAGAAAAAATAGATACCAGTCAATATAAACTTAATAACCTGTCTTCAAGAAGACCCAGAAGATGGTCTCAATCCACCCCTTCAATAAGATTACAGTTTCAGGACCATGAGAGACTATAGTCACATGATGAAAGTCTCAATATTTGAAAAATGATGACAGTGCATAAAATA